TTTAGCAGAGACGGAGTTTCACCATGTTGACCAGGCTGGTCTCGAACTCCTGACCTCATGTGATCTGCCGCCGCTTGGCCTCCCAAAGTGCTAGGATTACAGGCGTGAGCCACCGCACCGGTCTGATATACTTTCATTTAATAACAGAATATTTCTTCATTTGTTTATTGGCCGCTTATTTATTTCCTTTTCTGGGAACTTACTGTTCCATTTCCTTTTCTCATTTTTCTATTAGTTTTCTTTTTACTTAATGACTTCTTAATGACAAAGAGCTCTTTAGACATTAAAGAAACTAAGTCTATTGCAATGTGTTAGGAATGTTTTTCCAGCATACCCTCTGACTTTATCATGAGAAGTTCTTAATTTTCAGGTAATCAAATATATAAAACTTTTTCTTAGTCTGCTTGGCTTCATGACTTACCACCATGCTAATATTTTTTACTTTTTTTCTTCTGGCAAATCAGGCAGCATCCTGAACCACAAATGGTTCAGAGCAACTCCCACTGTACTGATATATTCATTCATATCTTCTCTTACTCATTTTAGAATTTTCTAATTTTTACATTTACATATCTTATTATCAAAAGATTACTTAGAGGCATAGGATGAATCCAGCTCAATTTTGTCCCAAGTTCCAAACGGCTTGCCAATAGTCCCAACATTACAGATTTAAAAGCAAGGCCTGGACACAGCATGCTGGCTCACACTGGAATCCTAGCACTTTTGGAAGGCCAAGTTGGGCAGATTGCTTGAGCCCAGGAGTTTGAGACCAGCCTGGGCAACATGGCCAAATCCTGTCTCCACAAAAAAATACAAAAATTAGCTAGGTGTTCTGACGAGTGCCTGTAGTCCCAGCTACTTGGGAAGCTGAGGTGGGAGGATCCACTGAGCCTGGGAGGTCAAGGCTGCAGTGAGCCGTGATCGCACTACTGCACTCCAGCTGTGTGCCAGAGTAAGACCCTGTCTCAACATATACAAATAAAAATAAAAGCAAGGCCTTACATGATGACATACTTCACCCATACACATAGCCCTAACCTCATCTGCTAGATTAATTATCTTCCTACTCCATTACAGCCACTCTGTTCTCTTGGTGGCTCCAAAAACACACCAGTCACATTTCCACAAAAGGGCATTTGCCCTGGCTTCTTCCTCTGCCTGAACACTCTTCCCCAGATATCCACCTGGGTTGCTCTTTCTCTTCCTTCGGTCTCTGCTTAAACATCAGCTTATGAGAGTCACCTTCTCTTATCATCCTACAGGAAAAACCTCCTCCCCAACCCTTTACATTCTTGAATTATTTTTCTCCATAGCCCTTACCACACCCCAGTTACCATGTTATAAGCTCCATGACCACACGGACTTTTATTTGTTATATTCCAGCGGGATAACAATGTCTGGCACTCAAATATCTGCTGAATGAATGAAGCCGAAACGTCACTTTTACCAAAAACAAAATTCCTACTAAGCATACTGAACAAGAGAAAAAGATTTTACTCCCCAGACTCCAAGTGTTAAATGGAGTAGCCATACAGGCAAAGAAAAGGTGGGAGGATTAGGGAGGGGGAGGAGAAGCAGCATGCCTCCTTAAACAAAAGGGTCTGTCAGTTTAAGTTGTCAATGCCAGATACGTCACAAGTACATCTTAACAGCCTAGCTCTGCATCCTAGTCATACTGAACTCCAATTTTCAACTCAACTGCATTCAAAATTCACTTCACCTAAGCAAGACCAGGAAGAGACCTTCCAACTGCCGAGAACCTTCTTAAGTCCATAGGCATTCAGTTACGCCACAGCATTAAAATGAACAAGTCTGGTACGCTTTTATACTGCATCTACCTGAACATAGCAGCAATCTTTTTTAAAAAGGAGTCTGTGGAACATCTCTTAACAGAAACACAAGAAGCCAGTTATCCCGTCGGTAACTGGTGGGCAGGAAGGACGAGATAAATTATTTTTATTTTTTTTTTTTTTTGAGACGGAGTCTCGCTGTCACCCACGCTGGAGAGCAGTGGCGCAGTCTCGGCTTACTCCGCTCCCCCGAGGTTCAAGCGATTCTCCTGCCTCAGCCTCCTGAGTATCTGGGACTACAGGAACTCTTCGCCACGGCCGGCTAATTTTTGCGTTTTTAGTAGTGACGTGGTTTCGCCACGTTGGTCAGGCTCCTCTCGAACTCCTGACCTCGTGTGATCCGCCCGCCTCGGCCTCCCAACGTGCTGGGATTACAGGCTTGAGCCACCTCGCCCGGCCAAGAGAGGACTTTCTATATATTCTTTTTGTAACTTTTGAATACAGAACCATGTTAACATTCTAGTCAATGGTAAAGTAAATTAAAACTAGACCAAGAAGCTGGGTGTGATGGCTCACGCCTGTAATCCCAACACTTTGGGAGGCCGAGGCGGGAGGATCGCTTGAGCCCAAGAGTTCAAGACCTGTTAGGGCAACACAGCGAGACCCCCATCTCTACAACAATTTTTTTTTTTTTTTTTTTTTTTCAGCGGGACGCGGTGGCGTCAGAGTGTAGTCCCAGCTACTTGGGAGGCTGAAGCGGGAGATTCGCTTGAGCCCGGGAGGTCCAGGATACAGTGGGTCGTGATCTGAACAAGAGAAAAAGATTTTACTCCCCAGACTCCAAGTGTTAAATGGAGTAGCCATACAGGCAAAGAAAAGGTGGGAGGATTAGGGAGGGGGAGGAGAAGCAGCATGCCTCCTTAAACAAAAGGGTCTGTCAGTTTAAGTTGTCAATGCCAGATACGTCACAAGTACATCTTAACAGCCTAGCTCTGCATCCTAGTCATACTGAACTCCAATTTTCAACTCAACTGCATTCAAAATTCACTTCACCTAAGCAAGACCAGGAAGAGACCTTCCAACTGCCGAGAACCTTCTTAAGTCCATAGGCATTCAGTTACGCCACAGCATTAAAATGAACAAGTCTGGTACGCTTTTATACTGCATCTACCTGAACATAGCAGCAATCTTTTTTAAAAAGGAGTCTGTGGAACATCTCTTAACAGAAACACAAGAAGCCAGTTATCCCGTCGGTAACTGGTGGGCAGGAAGGACGAGATAAATTATTATTATTATTTTTTTTTTTTTTTTTGAGACGGAGTCTCGCTGTCACCCACGCTGGAGAGCAGTGGCGCAGTCTCGGCTTACTCCGCTCCCCCGAGGTTCAAGCGATTCTCCTGCCTCAGCCTCCTGAGTATCTGGGACTACAGGAACTCTTCGCCACGGCCGGCTAATTTTTGCGCTTTTAGTAGTGACGTGGTTTCGCCATGTTGGTCAGGCTCCTCTCGAACTCCTGACCTCGTGTGATCCGCCCGCCTCGGCCTCCCAACGTGCTGGGATTACAGGCTTGAGCCACCTCGCCCGGCCAAGAGAGGACTTTCTATATATTCTTTTTGTAACTTTTGAATACAGAACCATGTTAACATTCTAGTCAATGGTAAAGTAAATTAAAACTAGACCAAGAAGCTGGGTGTGATGGCTCACGCCTGTAATCCCAACACTTTGGGAGGCCGAGGCGGGAGGATCGCTTGAGCCCAAGAGTTCAAGACCTGTTAGGGCAACACAGCGAGACCCCCATCTCTACAACAATTTTTTTTTTTTTTTTTTTTTCAGCGGGATGCGGTGGCGTCAGAGTGTAGTCCCAGCTACTTGGGAGGCTGAAGCGGGAGATTCGCTTGAGCCCGGGAGGTCCAGGATACAGTGGGTCGTGATCGCGCGGCTGCATCACACACACCCCGAGCGACGGAGCGAGCCCCCACTCAAAAACTAAAAACAAAAAACGACGAGAGCCCAGACATGGTGGCTTACTCCTGTAATCCCAACACTGTGGTTAGCCGAGGCAGGAGGATCACTTGAGCTCAGGAGTTCAGACCAGCTTCGGCAACACAGACCCCATCGCAAACAAATAACGGCAATAATAAACAACATGGGAGCGAGGAGGAAAGAAAATGGTGCGAATTTACCCGGATGTCAACAGGGGGAGGGGCCAATCGCTGCTACCCAAGATGCCAAGATGGACGCCAGGCAGCCGGGAAAAAGACCCCAACCCCACCCGCGCAGCCGTCCGCGAGGCCCCGCGCACAGCCTCCTCACCCCCGCTATCCGCGGCCTCCGGGTCCTCCTCCGCCTTCCGCTTGAGCTTCTGGGAGGAGGGGCTAACCGGCGCGTCCCCCAGCAGGTACTTATGCTCCTGGCCCCGCAGGTGCTTGAGGTAGCGGTCCTTCAGGGACTGCCACGAGTGCTGCGTGAGCGAGCTCTTCTCCATCGCTTTCCACAAGGCGTTACCGGTGACGGAACTGGGCGAGCGGGCATTTTCCTTCACGTAGGTCAGGATGGCTACGTCGTCCGCATCCGTGAAGGCGATCCGCCCCGCGAGCCGCTGCGGCTCCGGCTCTGCGGCGCCCTCGGCCAGGGCCCCGGGCTTTGCTTCCGAGCCGGTGTCCGCCGCCGAGGCGGAGCCCAGCCGATAGGCCTCCAGCTCCAGCCTCTCGTTGCGCTCCACGCAGTCCAGGATGTACTGCGTGGAGATGAAATCACCCGAGGCCTCGGCCAGCGCCTCCCCGGGCTGGGCCAGCAGCACCGCCCCGGGCTCCTGCACCCGGCACACGGTGCCGCCGCCGTGCAGGATGAGCGTCGACAGCCGGCGCTTGGCCGGGCTGGGCCGCACGTAGAAGGACATGGAGCTGCCGTCCTCCTTCACGAACAGAGTCGAGGAATGGGTGGGCCCGTTGGGGTCTTTGCCCAAATCCATCGCCTCCGCCATGTCTGACGCCGAGCACTACTAGAAGAGCTGCCTCCTCACGAGCCCCCGGCACACAGAGCGCGACTGACTGAGCTGTCGCAGCAGACGCCTCAGATGCGAAGCGCAGCACTGAGCCTGCGCAACAGCAGCCGCGGCGCAATGAAAGCGCCTGCCCCCTCTCCCCCGGAAGAGGTGGGGCTTCGCACCTTGACCTGGAAATTAACGTACTGTCCTCCTTACATTTGGATCGGGCCCTCCGGGAAGATGGCAGCGGTGCAGGCGGCCGAGGTGAAAGTGGATGGCAGCGAGCCGAAACTGAGCAAGAAGTGAGTGTCGCTGCGAGTCTTTAAAGCCTTTGCGGTAGGAGAGCCTGGGTTGGGAAGCGCTGCGAAGTTCCCACCAAGGCTGCTGTGCCGGGGCCTTCTTGCCGGCTGTCGTGGGTATGCACATGGTGAGACTTGATGGCTGTGCGTTGCAGACCACACACCCCAGGATACCCCGGGCACGCCGGCTCCCGGTCCCCAGCCGGCACCGGCGGGGTCCTCCCTATCATACCCCTAGAGTTTGGAGACTGTGGAGGGGGAACTAGGACGAGAACTAAGAGTTATCAGAAAAGAAAAGCGAAACTTACTGCTTACCTTCATCTCCTTCCTTGTGAGAAATGCTTTCTTTTGTTGAGCCACTCAGTAAACGTGAAAGTTGAAGAAATATTAAATACCCTAGCTTTTCAGAAAGACCTTCAAAATTTTCTAGGCCTCACTAAGGTCATTCTGAACGTTATGTATTAAAAGGGATCAGTTCTAAAACTGAGTTTCGGTTCGCTGCCATCTACCCGTATGGGTTATTCATTAGATTCCTGTGAGTATTGAGTGATCAACGTCTAACAGCAGAGACCATCTTAATTAAGCCTAATACCTTTTTGTTGACCACTCCCATATCCTTGGAGTGTGTGGGTTAACACAGATAAGTCAGGATTAGCCACTCTTTAACTGGCTGTCTTATATTCTTATTAGCATTCCCCATTTGAACCACAGAACACAGGTAATTGAGTGTTTTATCACTGCTAGGAAGACGGTACATAGTACCATTCCAGACGCATACGAGACGGCTTAATCCCCGTGGCGCGCACTTGTTATCCCAGCTACTCGGGAAACTGAGGCAGGAGAATCGCTTGAACCCAGGAGGCGGAGGTTGCAGTGAGCTGAAGTCGTGCCACTGCACTCCGGCCTGGGAGGCTTGAGGTCCTTCAGGGACTGCTGTGAGTGCTGCGTGAGCGAGCTCTTCTCCGTCGCTTTCCACAAGGCGTTACTGAGACAGCCAGACCCTGAATGAAAAAAGAGAAATGATGTTTCCTTTTTTTTTTTTTTTTTTTAAGATGGAGTCTCGCTCTGTCGCCAGGCTGGAGTGCAGTGGAACCATCTCGGCTCACTGCAACCTCCGCTGCCCGGGTTCAGGCGATTCTCATGCCTCAGCCTCCCGAGTAGCTGGGGTTACAGGCGCGTGCCACCACAGCCGGCCAATTTTTGTATTTTTAGTAGAGACATGGTTTCATCGTGTTGGGCAGGATGATCTCGAACTCCTTGCCTCGTGATCCGCCCACCTTGACCTCCCAAAGTGCTGGGATGACAGGCGTAAGCCACCGCAGCTGGCCCTATGTTTCCTTTTGTGAGCCTAGATTTGTGCCTCAAATATCTTAGAAGTAAGTATTAGAGAAATGGTCTAAGTTTACAGTTTGGTAGCACCCTAATATATTGTCCTTTATTAGAGCAATCTTATGGACTTCCATAAATGTTTGGAACCTGGCCTTTGAACTACTACCTTAGAGAAAATTGACTGGACTTTAATCTGTTAAGTCAAATTTAGTTGAATGTGATGTATCTGTGATATACAGTCCTAAAGTTTAGTTCATTCTTTCAAACCACCTATGATAATAAATTACATTGAATTGAATTATAGGACTGTATATCACAGGTGAAAGCAGGGTTTCCAGTTCAGTGTTTTTAGGTAAACTGAGAAAACTGGTTAATTTCTCTTTACTGACTTTTTTTTTTTTTTTTTGGAGGGAGAGTCATTGTTGCCCCGGTTGGAGTGCAGCGGTGTGATTTCAGCCCATGGCCACCTTCACCTCCCGGGTTCAAGCAATTCTGATGCTTCAGCATCCCAAGTACCTGGGACTACAGGCGCATGCGGCAACACCCGGCTAAATTTTTGTATTTTAGTAGAGACAGGATTTCACCATGTTGCCCAGGCTGGTGTCAAACTCCTGAGCTCAGGTGATCCGCCCGCCTCAGCCCCAAAAAGTGTTAGGATTATAGGCATGAGCCACCACTCCCTGCTTCACTGACTTTTCTAAGATTAAATACAGCTACTACTTTTTTTTTTTTTTGAGACGGAGTCTGGCTCTGTCACCCAGGCTGGAGTGCAGTGGCCGAATCTCAGCTCACTGCAAGCTCCGCCTCCCGGGTTCACGCCATTCTCCTGCCTCAGCCTCCCAAGTAGCTGTGACTACAGGCGCCCACCACCACGCCAGGCTAATTTTTTTTTGTATTTTAGTAGAGACGGGCTTTCACCGTGTTAGCCAGGATGGTCTCGATCTCCTGACTTCATGATCCGCCGTCTCGGCCTCCCAAAGTGCTGGGATTACAGGCTTGAGCCACCGCGCCCGGCCATAAGCTACAACTTTTGTGACCAGCTTTTCTGTACCAGGCACAATGCTAGATCTCTGCAAGCTTTCTGTCTAAATAATAACTTTGCAAGAGAAGAGTTATTGTCCATTTTTCAGATTAATAAACTGAGGCCCTGGTAATTAAATGCATTACTAAAGCATGCATTCCTAAAATACAGTCTAGCGCTGACACAGAGCACTGGAGCAGAGATCTGAAATCAGGCCTGTGCCTCCTCAGCCCATGCTCTGTATCCTGACTGCACAGCACTACTCACGTTGTCTTACCTGTTATTGATGTCTGTTCCTCTAGTTACCACGGACTAAGATAACTTTTTTGTGATTAACATTTCCTTCCATTTAATTGTTCTTGGACATTCCTTGGTCTGAAATCTTTAGTAAGCACCATTTTATGCCAGGTATTGACTCCAAGTTTAAAAACAGATGTGCTCCCTGCCCAAGTGAAATAGCCTCCTCAGATTTATTTGAACATGGTAAAGAAGGTGATCTCTGTAATTCTGTTGCCTTCTAGCATTTATAATGTATAAACATAACATAGTCTAAGGACCCTCCTGAAATTCTCCTTTCCCCTTGTTCCTAGAGTTCCAGACAAGTCTTCTCTTTGATTCGTGTTTTTGTGTGACTTGCATTTATCTTTGTCTAGAGTTTGCAATTGATAGTGACAGTTTCCTCTTATTTTATATGCTTCCTATTGCCATCTTGTGGCCAAGTATTTTCTCTCCAGGTGAGAAACCACACTTCAGGGCTTCAGAAAGTACCTCACATCCTGTTCCCATATTCTAGGATGTTGTGAGCATTTTTACCTGTAAGCGATCCATTAACTTGCTGTTGGCTTTTGACCCCAGATGTGCATGTTTTTTCCATAGTCAGGACTAAGAACATTGTCAGTTACAGTTGTAGCACAGGGAGTGTTACAGGGTTGCTATCAGTTAAGAGAGACTTAAGTTAAATGGGACTAAAAGGTAGTAGAAGCATGGTCCCCCTCCCCAACCCATAAGAGAGTTGGTTGGGTCTGTGTATACTGTCTGTCCCATCTGACACCACGTCTCTGTTTCCCGCTAGGTGGTGGTAATCATTAGTTCCAGGGTGTTCTGCCATGTTGACGCAAGCTGCTGTAAGGCTTGTTAGGGGGTCCCTGCGCAAAACCTCCTGGGCAGAGTGGGGTCACAGGGAACTGCGACTGGGTCAACTTGCTCCTTTCACAGCGCCTCACAAGGACAAGCCATTATCTGATCAAAGAAGGTTGGTGCCCATTACCTTCTTTATTGCTCTGGAAGCAGAAATTATTTCCTTACTTGGTTCATTATCTGTTAAGCCTCTGGCTAAGTCTTTGGACTTGTTGCTAAGGAAACAAGGAACCCTAATACCAAAACCAACAGTCCTGTCTCATTTCCTCTTTAATAAATTCAAATCATCTCTCCTTAGAGTCTTGAGATGACATGTGGATCTTATTCTAGAACAGTGCTGAGTACAAAACCTTTGTTTGAACAAATAATTTCTAATGCCAGTTATTTCCCTTTTCTGTCTTTCTGGGGTTTTGTTTGCTCTTGAGATTAATTTGGTTTCTAGTCTTAGTGCTATCCGTAGGACCTTTTTGGATTATCCTTAAGATTGATTTGATTTAAGAGGAGCACCTGGTTGAGTGGAAAACAGATTTATCTTAATTCTAGAAGAAGTAGACAGCCTAGTCTTAGCAGTCCACTGACTGAATTATAGCATGATAGCACCAGCACAGTGTTTTGGAAAGGTTGTCTTCACAAATGTTATAAGACATTATATGTAGAAAAAGCTGTCAACTGTGAAACCATCAGAATCTGTTTTTCCTGTTTAAAAGGAAAGGCGCACTGCGCAGCAGCCAGGCACAGTGGCTCACGCCCGTAATCCCAACACTTTGGGAGGCCGAGACGGGCGGATCACGAGGTCAAGAGATCAAGACCATCCTGGCTAACACAGTGAAACCCCGTCTCTACTAAAAATACAAAAAGAACATTAGCTGGTCATGGTGGCGTGCACCTGTGGTGCCAGCCACTCCAGACGCTGAGGCAGGAGAATGGTGTGAACCCGGGAGGTGGAGCTTGCAGTGATCCGAGATCGCACCACTGCACTCCAGTGTGGGCAACAGAGCGAGACTCTGTCTCAATAAAAAGAGGTGAAAGATTCAAAACCTCAATTCATTTTGTTTAAGTTATTCTAAATTCTTACAGAAAATGAAGGATGTGTCCTGAAGCCAGAAAGTACGCAGGCATGACTTGGGATCTTTTGCTGTGGTTCACTGTTGCAGAATATTTGATTAGTGGTTTGAAAGAATGTTCCATAAATTGTCTTTGAATAGTAAAGATAACCCTCCCTATACCAATATGTTTAGTTTCTGGGTTCAGATAGCAAATTCAGACCATAAGAGACATGAACGTATCATACAGAACAGCTCAAAATTGTCCACATCGCTTTGGTTTTTGAGGTTCAAGGGATAAGTATCAAGAGTTTGGATAGCAAGCGATTTAGCCAGAAATGTATTCAAATCAGTATAGTTTCTATACAGAGAGTAAAGGGTTAAGATACTGAAAGATACCTAGAAAGCTCATATTTGGTTAACTAAATGCCAGGGTTAGGGTAATCCCTTTATACAAACATAATCTCAGTACACACCACAGCAACTGGTGGAGGTTGTCTATTATTATTTTCATTTTATAGGTGAGAAGTTAATTCACTCATCCAAGTCACATAATTGACAAGTGTGTTGGAATTTAGTCCCAGGCAGCCTGACTACAAAGATGATGTATTATCCCCTGTACTATGCTGCTTTGCACACCGTTCTACTTTGTTGTCTAAGTCAGGCTCCAGTGGGCAAAGTGAGACTAATGCTGACAGCCATTCTTGGAGAGACTGTTGGTGGGGGAGGTCACCTTGAGTGCTAAAGAGCCAGCTCTTCCTTACTATCATCCTAACTCATGCTTAGGGGAGGTTAGAGAGAGGGGGTGGCAGAGGGCTAGAGATGTTGCCTGATCATGTGTTAGATCTGGCATTGGAGGGGTCAGGTGGCTGACACCTGTAATCCTAGCACCTTGGGAGGCCAAGGCTGGCAGATCACTTGAGGCAAGGAGTTTGAGACCAGCCTGGCGAACATGGTGAAACCCTGTCTCTACTGAAAATACAAAAATTAGTTGAGTGTGGTGGTACACACCTGTAATCCCAGCTACTCAGGTGGCTGAGGCACGAGAATCCCTTGAAATCCGGGAGGCAGAGATTGCAGTAAGCTGATATTGTGACTGCACTCCAGCTTGGGCAACAGAGCAAAACTCTGTCTCATTTAAAAAAAAAAAAAAAAAAGATCTATCACTGTTGGAACTTCACGTTCTGGAGGGGATACTAAACAACTAAGATTCAGTCACCAGCCCCAAGGAGCTCCCTAACCTAATTAGCTCAAGAAAAGCCTATTCTGCTAATTTTCTAGAAAATATTTTCTCCTGTTCAAAACTAATGCATAGGATTTTCTTTGTCCTGGTAGATCTTGGTTTTAGTTGGGACCTAATGCCAAGGACCTGAGACTGGCAAGCAGAGATTGAGAGTGATCTTTCATATCTTTGTTCTAAGCTTATTTTTCCTTTTGTGTCTTTCACATAAAGAGTTTAGTGATGAGAGACTTGAGCTGAGCTATGGCTGTGGAATTGAGGGGTATACAACTGAGAAAGAGCGTTCCTCCCAGGCGATTCGTGTTTTTGATAAGTGGCTAGGGGAAGAACATAGAGGACTCTTCAGGCAGCTAACACATTGAACGCTTTCATCTTTCCAACAGTGAGCTGAAGAGACGCCTGAAAGCTGAGAAGAAAGTGGCAGAGAAGGAGGCAAAGCAGAAAGAGCTCAGTGAGAAACAGCTAAGCCAAGCCACTGTGGCTGCCACCAGCCACACCACTGACAATGGTGTGGGTCCTGAGGAAGAGAGCCTGGACCCAAATGTGAGTTTCCTGGGCCACCAGCATGGCCGGGCACACGAAAGCTTCTGATGAGGCTTATGGCAGATTCTTTGGGACTGGACAGTAGGAAGGACCAGTATGCCCGAGGTCACTGCCAGGATAAGGGAGGGTCTGCCACTCCATCTGCTTAAAGGCACAGACCCTGAGTGTTTTTTATGTCAACCCCCAAAAGACATTTGGGAGAGTCCAGCATTCAAGTGAATTAACCTTCCTTGGAATTAGCTTGACCTTGAGGCCCTGGGGAAAGTGTCTCTCTAAAGATTGCCTGAGGTTTACTTTAGACCAGGGGCTGGCAAACTACATTCCACCAGCCAAATCCACTTCTCTATGCCCCCCACTTTATCCTTCCCTCCCTGGTTTTTTGTTTTTGTTTTTGAGCAAAGTCTCATTCTGTCACCCAGGCTGGAGTGCAGTGGTGCAATCTCACTGCAACCTCCGCCTCCCCAGTTCAAGCGATTCTCCTGCCTCAGCCTCCCAAGTAACTGGGATTAGAGGCACATTCCACTGCACCCAGCTAATGTTGGCCAGGCTCCTCTTGAACTCCTGGCCTCAAGTGATCCACCCACCTTGGGTTCCCTGAGTACTAAGATTACGGGTGTGAGCCACCACACCTTGCCCCTCCTTGGTTTTACTAGTAAAATTGTATTGGAACACAGCCGTGTTCATTTGTTTACATATTTCTGAGGCTGCTTTCCCCCTGGAACAGCTGAGTTGAGAAGTTGCATCAGAAAAGCTTTGTGAGAAAGGCTGCTGTAGAATATTCCTTGTTTACATTCTCCAGACCCCACGCCTTGGGGAAAAATCTGATGTGTCGCTGTAGGAGAGTAGTTAAGAAGATAAGTGACTCAACTCACCATGCAAAATGTGGTCTACAAAAGTGACAAGGCCACCTATACCAATTAAAAATTAAACTTCTATTATTTTAGGCAGAACTCTGATATTTCTTTTGTTGACTCTTGCATTTTGGAATGCTGGCCTCTGGCCACCCTGCATATTTTAAGTGCAAATCTCCATATTCATTCCTGTAATGCACAGGTCTTGGTTAAAGAAAACAATGTATTGGGGTCACTCTGGGGCAGAATACTGCCCTCTGCTAGGTGGGCCCCACTGGTCTGACTAGGTTCAACTTCTCAAGGGCTTTTTTTTTTTTAACAGCAATACTTCAAAATCCGCAGCCAAGCAATTCATCAGCTGAAGGTCAATGGGGAAAATCCGTACCCACACAAGTTCCATGTTGACATCTCACTCACTGACTTCATCCAGAAATATAGTCATCTGCAGCCTGGGGATCACCTGACTGACATCACCTTAAAGGTGGCAGGTAGGAACTCTCCCTGGCAAATCACTGAACTCCCACAACAGGCAGGACCCTTCGGTAGCACAAGGGAAGGTCTGGGTTGGTCTTGTTCTCAAGTAGTCTGTGTCTGAAGCTACTTTACAAAGGACAGCGCCATTATATCTACTCACAGAAAGAAGTAGAGGATTCCCTTCATCAGCAAGAATCAGTGGTAGAAGTCTCAGGCTTCTAAGAATTCTGGTCTTTGGCCTGAGAATGCTTTGCACTGAGACAGTTTTTCTAGAACATTGCTCTTTTGGAGTTGTAGTATCTTGTATTAGATTTTCTTTTCCTAAATTTTAAAAAATCACATCTTTTCCTTGCCCTCCCCCACCAACTATCAGTTGTAGAAAATTTAGAATAGTCAGAGAAGCAAGGAAAGTTTTGATTACCCATAATCCTACCACCCAGAGAGAATTCCTGCCAGCACCTAAATGCCCAAAAGATTTCTTCTTTAAAGTGCAGTGCTTTTACTAAAGTCTTTTTTTTTTTTTTTTTTTTTTTGAGATGTAGTGTCACTTTGTTGTCCAGGCTGGAATGCGGTGGTACCATCTTAGCTCACTGCAACCTCCACCCCCCAGGTTCAAGCGATTCTCCTGCCTCAGCCTCCCAAGTAGCTGGGATTACAGGCACCTGCCACCGCACCCGGATAAGTTTTGTATTTTTAGTAGAGATGGGGTTTCACCGTGTTGGCCAGGCTGGTCTCGAACTCCTGACATCAGGTGATCCGCCCGCCTCAGCCTCCCAAAGTGTGAGGATTGCAGGCGTGAGCCACCACGCCCTGCCACTAAAATATTTCTTGATGTTAGTTATTCTAGTTTGATACTCTCAACTATGTAGTGTGCTCTGAGATCTTTTTCACATGTGTGTTTTCAGATCTTTTTTTTTAAATTTTTTGTTTTTATTCTGTTTCTTTACATTTCTTTTGGGACTTTTATCTGCATACTGAATCGTCTTTGATTCTTTTTGATAATTGTTACTTTGTCTCAAATCCTTTTTATCTCTTTCTTCATACTTTGATTTTTAAATTTTATCCTTCTTTTCACTTACTGTTTCTCTTGAGGCATTATTTGTTGTATTTAGTCACTATTATTTCCTTATAGCTTAGTCCTCATTTTCTGAAAGATTTTTACTTTATTTCTAATTCTTTCATGTGTTATCACCTCATTTCTTAGTTTTTCTAATTCTAATTTGTGTTCTTTAATGTTTTGTGTCTTTTTTCTTTTTTTTTTTTTTTTTTTTTATTTTTTTTTTTTTTTTTTTTTGAGACGGAGTCTCGCTGTGCTCCCAGGCTGGAGTGCAGTGGCGTGATCTCAGCTCACTGCAAGCTCCGCCTCCCGGGTTCACGCCATTCTCCCGCCTCAGCCTCCCAAGTAGCTACAGGCGCCCGCCACCACGCCCGGCTAGTTTTTTGTATTTTTAGTAGAGACGGGGTTTCACCATGTTAGCCAGGACAGTCTCGATCTCCTGACCTCGTGATCCACCCGCCTCGGCCTCCCAAAGTGCTGGGATTACAGGCTTGAGCCACCGCGCCCGGCCTGTGTCTTTTTTCTTAATGTCTCTCAGCTCATTGTTGAAAAGTAAGTTAGAATTTTTTGCTTTTCACCATACGTTCTCACTCATAAGTGGGAGTTGAACAATGAGAACACATGGACATAGGGAGGGGAACATCACACACTGGAGCCTGTCGAGGGGTGCGGGAAGGGGAGGGAGAGCATTAGGACAAATACCTAATGCATGTGGAGCTTAAAACCTAGATGATGGGTTGATAGGTGCAGCAAACTACCATGGCACATGTATACCCATGTAACAAACCTGCATGTCCTGCACATGTATCCCAGAACTTAAAGTAAAATTTAAAAAAAAAAAAATTTTTTTTGTTGTTCTGAGCATGTCTGTCTTGAGAGCTTTTATTTTGTCTAGAGCAGTGTTATTCTCCTATCTCTCCTTTTTTAGTTTTTTAGGTAACTTTATATGGTAGATGAGCTCAGTGCTTTTATGTTGCTTATATTTACATGAAATCAGTTTTCCTGAATGTTCAAAGGAAAGTAGGTTTCGTTTTTCCAACTTTAGTGAGCTCCCTCTTGTTTTTGTGACGTGTTCAGAAATACAGCAGCTTGCTTTCTGAGATTTCCCAGTCCTCATCTTCTTCCTCATCTTTTTTGGGTCTTCTCCTTTTTTTTGTCTCTTTTTCCCTTGTCCCGTTCGGTTTTTTACGGTCTTGTCCTAGAAGGGAGCCTGGCTGTTGAGAGGGTTTCTGTAGGCTCTTCATTCCCTTTAGATCTTTTTTTTTTTCTTGTTTGAGACAGTGTTTCGCTCTTGTTTCCCAGGCTGGAGTGCAATGGCGCCATCTCAACTCACTGCAACCTCCACCTCCCGGGTTCAAACAATTCTCCTGCCTCAGCCTCCCGAGTAGCTGGGATTACAGGCATGCACCACCATGCCCGGCTAATTTTGTATTTTTAGTAGAAACGGGGTTTCTCCATGTTGGTCAGGCTGGTCTTGAACTCCCAACCTCAAGTGATATGCCTGCCTCGACCTCCCAAAGTCTTGGGATTACAGGCGTGAGCCACAGCGCCCGGCCCCCTTTAAATCTTAATGTAGCCCTCACCTGTATGGAAATAGGCACATCCCCTCCCAGCTTCAGCTGCTTTCCTGGAGGAAAAGGTTCACATTTTCCAGCGGATACCTTTGGCCATTTGGGAGTTCTTCAGTTCTCAGATCCCTCCCATACCCCATTCCTCCCCACTGCTTTTTCCCCATGTAGAGGTCTTATGACTCTTGGTGGTTTACCTCATTGCTTATATTTGGGGGTTCTTGGCAACATCTTCCCACATCATTTTGTTGTAAATTTTGTCCATAGATTTTTCACTTTGCCTCTCTAGCTATGCTTTCTATTTTTATTTGAGGATTCAAGGAAATCCAAAAACTCTGCTGCTCCCAGCACCACCATCTTCCAGGCATCCAGTGACTTATCTTGAAAGCCAGGTCTCCCTGCATGTCTTTAACTGATCTGAATGGAGATCGTTGGCTTGAGGGAAAAGATGGGGATTAGACCTCAAGCTAAAATAAGATTGTACTGCTTGGTGTTCTGCCCTGACGAAAAAAAAAATGCAGGCCAGTACCGTGGCTCACGCCTGTAATCCCAGCACTTTGGGAGGCTAAGGTGGATGGGTCACTTCAGCCCAGGAGTTCAAGACCAGCCTGGGCAACATGGTAAAACCCCCTCTGTAGTTAAAAAAAAAAAAAAAAAAATTAGCCAAGTGTGGTGGTGCACACCTGTAATCCCAGCTACTCAGGAGGCTGAGGTAGGAGAATCACTTAAACCTGGAAGGCGGAGGTTGCCGTGAGCCGAGATCGTGCCACTGCACTCTAGCCTGGGCAACAGAGCAAGACTCTGTCTCCAAAAAAATATATATATATATGCAGAGGGAGCTTTTTTTGACACTGATACTGTAAAATTACTTCTGGTTCAGTCAGTATTTTTGCTCTTCTTTTTCTAGGTAGGATCCATGCCAAAAGAGCTTCTGGGGGAAAGCTCATCTTCTATGATCTTCGAGGAGAGGGAGTGAAGTTGCAAGTCATGGCCAATTCCAGGTATCTCGAAATATCCAGTTATAGACTTTTCTTGATTGGCCTAGAACAACACAGCAATAGGCTGATGTGGTCTTACTGGTATTTGAAGATAGAGTAAGAAGGAGTCCGACATGGTTGGGGAAGACTGAGAAGAAGATAACGTGGCCCCCTGGTCACCTGTAAAGTGATGACTGCCCTCAAGTTATGTGACAGTAAAGTAAAGGATAGTCCTTTTTTAATAGTGGCCCCTGAATCTGAGCTGCTTCTTGGGCTCACATTAACTAGGTATTAACAGATGAGTGAGGGTTCCAGAGGAACCCAGTAGTCAGTGTTCATTTGAATTGTTCTTACTGAATTTTACATTTCCTTTTCACTCAGAAATTATAAATCAGAAGAAGAATTTATTCATATTAATAACAAACTGCGTCGGGGAGACATAATTGGAGTTCAGGGGAATCCTGGGAAAACCAAGAAGGGTGAGCTGAGCATTATTCCGTATGAGATCACACTGCTGTCTCCCTGTTTGCATATGTTACCTCATCTTCACTTTGGCCTCAAAGACAAGGTAAGCGTTCATGCCTCCTAGCTGTGGCATGGCAGTGCCTTCTGTTTGTTTTATGATACCATCGAATCAGACATACCAGTGATTTCTAACTGCTTCTTTTGGTTTAGGAAACAAGGTATCGCCAGAGATACTTGGACTTGATCCTGAATGACTTCGTTAGGCAGAAATTTATCATCCGCTCTAAGATGATCACATATATAAGAAGTTTCCTGGATGAGCTGGGATTCCTAGAGGTAGGGAGAGTTCCTCGCCTGACGCGATGAGCTGCCTTGCAGTGCTTGCTGCCGCCTCTCCCTTGCCTTCCTTTTCCAAAGCGTATCCTGTGTCATGCGTAATGAGAATGTCCCCTTTCTTGCCATTGTCTCTGTTCTACCTTGTCCAGATTAGGAAGGCAGGAGCTGACTTCTAAGATAATGGACAAGGTATAGGGCCATCCACATGCTAATGATGTCACATTCAATATGTATTCAAATCATTTTGCTTTTTTGTAGCATTAAATATTTTTTGATGGTATGAGAAGAGCAAACACACATACCATAAAACAAATTCAAACAATAAATTAAATAGAAGCAAAATTAAAAGTACCCTTCCACTCCTTCCAACTAACTTCCATCCCCAAACTTGAGTTTGATATGTATCCTTCCGCACCATTTACTGGGCATATTACATACATACATGTGCGTGTTGCGGATGGAGTGCACATATGTAAACAATTTGGAGCGGTTTTATTTTTGCTTTAAATATGAGTAAAGTCACACTGTATGTATTGTGATGGACCTGCTTTTATTTCACTTAAGATATTCTGGAACTCTTTGTATGAGATAAATAGATATTCTTTCTTAATGCTGCATTGTTTGTTTCAACAAGTATCTTTATACACATGTTCAAGTGTTTCTGTAGGATGGATTTCTAGAAGTAGAATAAGTCAAAGGATATAAGCAGTTAAAATTTTTTTAAACAATCAGTTGAGATAACTCACTACCTTCAGACCAGCCTAATTTTTAAATTTTTAATAAATACTACAAATTGGGCTGGGCTCGCTCGGTGGCTCACGCCTGTAATCCCAGCACTTTGGGAGGCGGAGACAGGCGGATCACGAGATCAGGAGATCAAGACTATCCTGGCTAACACAGTGAAACGCTGTCTCTACAAAAAATTAGCCAGGTGTGGTGGCAGGTGCCTGTAGTCCTAGCTGCTTGGGAGGCTGAGGCAGGAGAATAGTGTGAACCCTGGAGTCAGAGCTTGCTGTGAGCCGAGATCACGCCACTGCACTCCAGCCAGGGCAAAAGAGCAAGACTCTGTCTCAAAAAATAAATACTGCAAATTGAACTCAAGAAAGGCTATATCCATTTAGATTCTTATTTACAGCTTGTGAAAGTTCATGGTACTATATTAATGGTGTTAGGTATTAATAGAAATTGAAACACCATCGTAGAAATACTATCTGTTCTTTTTTGTCAAGCACTTGCACGTTACTGTTGAACTTATTAACATTTAGTTTGGGATATAACAGGCTTAAACTATATTACTTGCAAAGCATGATCTGTCCCCAAGGCCTCTGGTTATCTAAGGACTGAATGTTTCTCCCTGTCTTTTTTAGATTGAAACTCCCATGATGAACATCATCCCAGGGGGAGCTGTGGCCAAGCCTTTCATCACTTATCACAACGAGCTGGACATGAACTTATATATGAGAATTGCTCCAGAACTCTATCATAAGGTAGTCAAAAATATTACATCCTGTTCCCTTAAAGAATGGAAAACCATTGGCTAGACAGGTATAGTCAGGTATAGTCAGAAATAAGAGGAACAGAGAGAGAGAGTAAAGCAGCCAAGAAGGTGTTCTGATGGGTCAGGTGTGTGGACATGAGTAACACTGCCAGAATTTCTCTACAAGATCAATAGAGCATTGCAGGGCAGAGGCTAAAGGGATTGTCTTTCCCATGTGTACAGGCACTCCTTACCTACTTTGGTTCCCCTAAAACTTTTAAGATATAGTCTTACTTGGATTGGATCTGATTTAAGTCTTTCATAGAAGAAAGAGCCTAATCTCTCTGTGGAAGTTGGAAATCATACCTTCATGCCTGGCGCGGTGGCTCACACCTGTAATCCCAGCTACTTTGGGAGGCCAAGGTGGATCACTTGAGGTCAGGAGTTTGAGAGCAGCCTGGCCAACATGGTGAAACCCAGTGTCTACAAAAATACAAAAATTAGCTGGGCATGGTGGCGGGCGCCTGTAATCCCAGCTACTCGGGAGACTGAGGCAGGAGGATTGCTTGAACCCAGGAGGCAGAGGTTGCAGTGAGCCGAGATCTGCCACTGCACTCCAGTCTGGGTGACAGAATGAGACTCTGTCTCAAAGGAAAAAAAAGTATCTTCAAATCACTATAAAGATGTCTTTTCAAATTCCCAGGTAAATATCGAAGATTATTATTCAGGATTCTTAGTTGCAGACAACAGAACCTGTTATAACTAGGTGAAGCAAAATAAAAATTTATTCAGCTCTATAGGTGAGGTATTGCTCCTCACAAGAGGGCATTAGCTGCGGGGGTCTGCCCGCAGACCCTGACCTAAGCAACGGATGAATAAAACGTACACTGAAATGCAGATACTCTGTTTTGCCAGTCCTGCTGAGTGACTGCTCGCACACCAAGAGAGGTTTGTCACTGCGGCTGACCACGAGCAGCTCGCACTCCAGGCATTTATTTAGTAAAGAATTAACAACAGAAGCTTTGAGTAAACACATTTGTGGATAATTAACATGGTTAAGAGAGTAGTTCTAGGAATTTTTTTTTTTTTTTTTTTTTTTTTTTTTTGAGACGGAGTCTTGCTCTGTAGCCCGGGCTGGAGTGCAGTGGCCGGATCTCAGCTCACTGCAAGCTCCGCCTCCCGGGTTTGCGCCATTCTCCTGCCTCAGCCTCCGGAGTAGCTGGGACTACAGGCGCCCACCACCTCGCCCGGCTATTTTTTTGTATTTTTTAGTAGAGACGGGGTTTCACCGTGTTAGCCAGGATGGTCTCGATCTCCTGACCTCGTGATCCGCCCGTCTCGGCCTCCCAAAGTGCTGGGATTACAGGCTTGAGCCACCGCGCCCGGCCAGTTCTAGGAATTATTAAAGCTGAGGTAATGCTGTCTAAAGTAAATACTATTAGGGGGCAGTATTTTTGGTCGACCTCCCCCCAAGAGGGCCATATGGCTCAAAGGTTAGTTAATGGAGATAGGGTAAACAGATTTAACTGAGAAAGCCTCTGTTGTCTGTAGTATTTACCCTATGACCTAATGCTCTAAGGTAAGAACCAGCTCCCTTCAGCCTGTTCAGTTATTACAAGCTACGTAACCTTTCAGCCTTCCAAAAGATTTGTGACTATTATAACTTCCCCAATATTTCCCTTTAATATTTCTGCCACCATCCTGAGTGAATCCCCACATACAGAAAGCTCACAGTCCCCAGGAGGATCAGAGAATCAGGCTTGGAAACTACACAGCTAGGAATGATTCTGAGTCATATTAGAATGGGCTGTTCTCATGGAGAACCCAGTGTTTTTTCCTACTAGGCACAGTTACTATAGCTCATAACCCTGGCACTAGGCACAAGTCACTGCCACTAGGACCTCTGCAATCTAAATGCTACATATGACTGGCCCCCTTCACTAGAATGAATTCTGTGCAATACCTACATCTTCTGTTATGTAGATGTAACATGCTGAAGTCTCAAGTGTGTCTGACTGGTGGAGTGTGGGTCACACGCCTGCAGCCTAACCCCAAGAGACGCTGCTTCCTTGGGGAGGCTCAGACTCAACGGTGGGGGATGCCCAAGACAGGAAGAGTATCTAGAATTCCTGGGCAGCCAAAAAGGAGGGGTAACTATCCACACTACAAGGGTCTAAAGAGAGCAGGGTGCTTGGCATTTTGACTAGAGACCTGAGAGCATGCCTAATCTGTGAAAACCAAGTTATGGCTTTTGGTTCTGAAACTTCCCAGAGGTGTTAATATAAGATTAGCTGTCATGACCGTGGCCATGTGTTGCTGTTAGATTCTTGTGGTTGGTGGCATCGACCGGGTTTATGAAATTGGACGCCAGTTCCGGAATGAGGGGATTGATTTGACGCACAATCCTGAGTTCACCACCTGTGAGTTCTACATGGCCTATGCAGACTATCACGATGTCATGGAAATCACAGAGAAGATGGTTTCAGGTGACTCCTGCCCTCCGTCATACTCATCGGGTAGTTTGGTATGCTGCTTTCAGAGGAGGGCTGCCTGGGTTTCATCCCTGCTAAATAACAGGTTTCTCTCCCAGGGATGGTGAAGCATATTACAGGCAGTTACAAGATCACCTACCACCCAGATGGCCCAGAGGGCCAAGCCTACGATATTGACTTCACTCCACCCTTCCGGCGAATCAGCATGATAGAAGAGCTTGAGAAAGCCCTGGGGATGAAGCTGCCAGAAACTAATCTCTTTGAAACTGAAGGTAAAGTGACAACACTCACTCCATTGTGAGTGACAGCACTTACTCCTCCTCTCTTCCTGTCCAGCTCTGAATTTGATTGGGTCAGAGCTAGAATTTCCCACACTATTCTCTTTACGTACATTTGTACTTGGCTAATGTGATGTCTCCTGCCCTAACTTGTGCGTTTGTATCCCAGAAACTCGCAAAATTCTTGATGATATCTGTGTGGCAAAAGCTGTTGAATGCCCTCCACCTCGGACCACAGCCAGACTCCTTGACAAGGTGAGAGGCTCCGCCTTTGTTGTACATGTCCTCATCTGGTGCTGAACAGTTCCCTCTTCCCTGGGGAGAGTTCATTTCTGCACCTTCATAGGAAAACCCTAAAGAGTTTGAACAAGAGAAATAACAAACTTCGACCTGTCATACTAAGCTCTGTGCCAAATAATTTATGGTGTGATCTCTGTTAATCCTTTCCAGCTTTTAAAAAGCTATAGGGTAGGGCGGGTGCGGTGGCTCACACCTGTAATCCCAGCACTTTAGGAGGCCGAGGCGGGCAAATCACCTGAGGTCAGGAGTTTGAAACCAGCCTGGCCAACATGGTGAAACCCCGTCTCTACTAAAAATACAAAAATTAGCTGGGTGTGGTGGCGGGCACCTGTAATCCCAGCTATTCAGGAGGCTGAGGCACGAGAATCACTGGAACCGGGAGGGGGAGGTTGCAGCAGGCCAAGATCGTGCCACTGCACTCCAGCCTAGGCGACAGAGCAAGATTCCATCTCCATAATAGTAATAATAATAATAAATAACTATAGGATAAACCCATCTGGATGGGAGCTGAGGTCTTCTGTCTGGGCTGGGATGATCAAATACTATTCATAAATGGTGACTGACTCTGCTTTTCTTTCTCATTAAGCTTGTTGGGGAGTTCCTGGAAGTGACTTGCATCAATCCTACATTCATCTGTGATCACCCACAGATAATGAGCCCTTTGGCTAAATGGTAAGATTCCAGTTACCTATTGCTGCGTAACAGCCCCAGAACTTAGTGGTGTTAAACAACAGTTTATTGTCAAGATTTTGTGGGTTGACTGGTGGTCTTTCTGCTGGGTGGTGGTGACTAGGATAACCCAAGGGGCTTTTTTTCAACTGGGGATTCTGCCAGGGCACTTTGGTTCTCCTCCCTGTGGTCACTCCACATAGGATCTTGTCCTCCAGGGCCTCTTCATGTGGCCTCTCTGGCAGCACAGCCTGGGCTTCCTTTCAGCATGGCGATTGGGCTCTGAGGAGAAGCTTCCAAAAGAACAGACCTCGTTGTGCAAACACATATCAAGCCTCTGCTGATATCCCATTGGCCAAACCAAGACATGTTGCCAGCCCAGAGTCCAGGTGAAGGAGGCTACACGTGGGCATGAATACAAGAGGTGTGCTCCATTGTAACAGTCTGCCACACTGGCATTATACCTTCCTGGTTTCTCTCACCCTCCTCACCGTTGTACCAAACGATTTGTTGCTGAGAGTGCATGCAGGCTGCAAACTGCAATCAGTAACACTTTTGAGTCCACTAGAGTTCAATTCTTGTATTAGATGTTTGATCATTAGACCAACCTGGCCAATATGGTGAAACCCTGTCTCTACTAAAAATACAAAAATTAGCCAGGCATAGTGACATGCGCCTGTGATCCCAGCTACTCAGGGCTGAGGCAGGAGAAGCTTTTGAACCCAGGAGGCGGAGGTTGCAGTGAGCCGAGATCACACCACTGCACTCCAGCCTAGGCAACAGCGAGCCTCCATCTCAAACAAAAAAAAAAAAGAATTTAGCTCATTAGGGGCCTGTATATTCAGCCTCCCCTCTGGTCTCCTGTCCCTAGGCACCGCTCTAAAGAGGGTCTGACTGAGCGCTTTGAGCTGTTTGTCATGAAGAAAGAGATATGCAATGCCTACACTGAGCTGAATGATCCCGTGCGGCAGCGGCAGCTTTTTGAAGAACAGGCCAAGGTGAGCAAGGGGACTGTGAGCAGAGGCTGTGCCAACTCACCAGGAGATACCAGCCTTAACCCTGATCTGTGTCAGCATATACGTTCTTGGTGACTTCAGAAGAAAGCCATAGGCTTTGCTGGAGGAAGTCACATTTCAAGATGGAGACTTCACCTGGTATTGACTCTGTAGTACATAAGAGGAACTTAGTTATTAATCTCCATATGGGAAGCATGATGTTTGGTCTTGAAAATACGCTTGCCAAACAAGAACGTTATTTTCTTAGATTATACATGTATTGAGGTGGCTTAGGGTTGGGAGGCAGGTAAAGATGGATGGAGAAGACAAAGCCCCCACAGGCTGCCTGCAGCAGGTGCTGCCATTGAGGGCTGCTTTCAGGAAATGCAAGAAAGACTCTTGGCATTGTCACAGTCTCCGAGAATTAACCTATTTGGAGTCCCAGAACCCCAAGCAGCGGAAGTGTTTTCTTTCAGAGAAATTTGTATGTGTTCTGAGGTCAATTTCATCAGTCCTGACCTCCAGGTCTTTGAGAGAAACGGCTGCATCTTGGAGTTACTAGGAAATGAATCCCCAGCAAGTCCTGAGTGTCAGGAGCATCCCTGGAATGATGGTACTCCCACCTCGGAGCCTATTAATGTGTTCACTCACACACTGAGATATCCTAGAAGAAGATCACCTTTTGGTTCTCTTTCCTCTTCTAGGCCAAGGCTGCAGGTGATGATGAGGCCATGTTCATAGATGAAAACTTCTGTACTGCTCTGGAATACGGGCTGCCCCCGACAGGTGGCTTTGGCATGGGCCTTGACCGAGTCGCCATGTTTCTCACGGACTCCAACAACATCAAGGTACGTAGCAGCCCTCCACAGCGCATACTGCCCTGAAGAAACTCCATTGTGTTGCAGCCAGGGCATGGTGGGCCTGGGGGATAAAATTAAGGAAGGGATTTGGACTGGGAAGAGGAGCAGGCAGAGGAGTTCCATGCCACTCACAGGAGGGCCAGAGCCTCTGACCTGGAAGGATTTGGGTTTTTTCCTCCCAGAGGCAGAAGGAATACTAATAGTTTGCATTTCTTGAGGATCCAGGGAAGTCTCCGTGCATTACTTCAGCTAATTAAGTCAGCCCAATGAGGTATAGAAACTGTTGTTTCCCATTTTTACAGATGAGGATATCAAATTTTCATAGAAATGTGTCTGTTCATCCTTTTGACATAGTGCCCTAGACAGTTCTATGCATTTGTTCTTTGTCATCTGTAACTGAGAGGGTCTGAGTTGAAATAAAAGAAGACGTGTCTTTTCAGCTGGAATATAATATACTAATCTCTAGATTTTGGTGGTAACAACAGAGGCAAAAGGAATGAGTAGATAGGTGTGAAAAAATGTTCAGAGTGCTTCTTAGCTTCAAGGTACATTTTTATCTCCCACAGGAAGTACTTCTGTTTCCGGCCATGAAACCCGAAGACAAGAAAGAGAATGTAGCAACCACTGATACGCTGGAAAGCACAACGGTTGGCACTTCTGTCTAGAAAATAATAATTGCAAGTTGTATAACTCAGGCGTCTTTGCATTTCTGCGAAAGATCAAGTCTGCAAGGGAATTCTTGTGTGCTGCTTTCCATTTGACACCGCAGTTCGGTTCAGCCATTAGAAGAGAGACAAGGAATTAAAATTTTCTTTTTAATCCTTGTTACCAAATAAACCATTTGTCTGTTCTCTTTACCTTTAGAATGTCAACTTTTTTTCCCAGACTGCTGGCCTAATGAATGTTTAGGATTTTACCATCTTATTCATTTAACAAATTTATATTAATGTCTGCCCTGTGCCAGGCATTGTTCTAAGGGATTGGGGACACAGCAGTGAACAAAAGCCAAGTTCCTGCTTTCATGGAACTTGTATTCTTTCTTTGGGATAGGGAGGAGAAGTAGACAAACAAAAAACAAGGAAATACCTGTTCTTTCTGGTGGTGGTATATACCAAGAAGAAAAATGGAGCAGGGTAAAGGGACAGAGGTGCTATTTTAGAGGTAGAGGGAACAGTGCTACTTTATGGTGGTCAGGAAGACCTCTGCTAGGCATTTCAGTAGAGGTCTGGAGACTGAGCTGGGGAGGTCTATGGGAAAAGGCCATTCGGACCAAAGGACTATGTTTTTGAGGAATGGCAGAGGGTCTGGTGTGACTGGACAGGGATGAGTGAAGGTCAGTGAGGGGCCAGATCACGCAGGCTCCCGGAAGCCACGCAGAAAAGTATGTGTTTTCTGAGGGAGATGAGATACCATGGAAGGGTTTTGAGCAGAGGAGTGTTTTTCAAGGATTATTATAGTTTCTGTGTGGAGGACAAGGGCAAAGAAGGGAGACCAGCTGAGCAGTCACCATAGGCTGAGGAGACAGTGGCTGGGACGTGGTTGGAGCAGTGGAAATGGTTACAAGTGGTTGCACTTTGCCTGTGTTCCTGACAGCAGAAGAATTTGGTGATGGAATGTGGGTTGTGACAAAAAGAAGCCAAAAGTGATTTCATGGTTTTGAGCCTGAATAGCTAGAAGAAAGTTGCCCTCTGAAGTGCAGGTTTTGGACATGTTAAACTTGACATGCCTGTTAGCCAGATGGGAATAGTAGAATGTTGAGTAATGAATCTGAAGTTTTCTCATTATTTTCAGCTCCATTCAATAGAGGTAAGAATGTGACAAGGCTGTGGCTGACAGCCTGCCGTGAGAGTGGAACCCCTGTTTCCTGACCCAGCGGGGAAGACCTTTTTTCAGATGACGGAAGACTTACCTTCTGCACCGCAGCAAAACCTGCAAGCATCCCAGTTTGGGAGCAGCCAGCCTCCTTTCACAGAGCAGGTTTCTGTTTCTGTAACTGGTAAACAACGTAAGCATTCAGAGTTACCCAGCAGAACTACCTCAGGGAGTGCGGAGCATGCTTACCCCTGCTGGCGTTTAAGCAGTACATGACCAGGTGGCATTTCGGAAGAAACATTTTCAGATGGCACATCCTCAGAAAGGGAGTGGTAACTAAGACGGGACATAATAACCTCACCAAGGGAGGTGGTGGAAGGTCAAGGCCAGGTAAGGGACTAGGTTTCGGGTAATACTGTCAATGCACACCATTGAAAAAGGCTACAAGGATTGATGATGTCATCAGTGACTTTACAGAGTGGTTTAATGGAGGGCTGGAGGCAGAAACCAGCTGTCTGGTCTTAAGGAGGCTGGGGATAGAAAGGAACTGAGGCAGCAGTAGACAACTTGTATGTGGGGGTTGGCAGGAAAAATGACCAAGAGTGTGAAAGCTAGAAGGGACAGAAGGGACCTAAAGTCCCCATTTCTTCTTCAGACAGTTGCAGGCTCACAATTTGCTAACTGCTCTGCTGGGGTGAGCAGAAACAGGCATGGTCCCAAACTTCATCAAGCATCTACATTTGTAAAGAAAATAGATATGTAATAAATCATCCTCCAAAATTGTATAAAATGGCAGCTCAGGTAAATGGTTTGAAGGAGAGGTCCATGGGGTATTGAGAAACTATAATGGCCATGGATCTAGTTAGAGGAGGTTTCTCTGAGGGCATTAGATCTGAAGGGAAGAGGGCTTTCCACGCTATGGCAACAAGTGCAAAAGCTCTGTGGTAGGAAGGGACATGGAGAAGACCAGTGACAGAGTACAGAAGCCCAAAGAAATATGGCACCAGGTGAGGCGGGAAGGGGCTGACAAGGCAGTACTGTGAGCACTACTATGGGATTTTTGCATTTTAAGAGTACTGGGAAGCCAGTCGGGCATGGTGGCTCACGCCTGTAATCCCAGCACTTTGGGAGGTCAAGGCAGGTGGATCACTTGAGGTCTGGAATTCGAGACCAGACTGGCCAACATGGTGAAACCCCATCTCTACCAAAAACACAAAAATTAGCAAGGTGTTGTGGCCTGTGCCTGTAATCCTAGCTACTCGGAGGCTGAAGTAGGAGAATTGCTTGAACCCGGGAGGCAGAGGTTGCAGTGAGCTGAAATTGTGCCACTGTGTTACAGCCTCAGCAACAGATGGAGACTCCATCTCATAAAAAAAAATAAAGTACTGAGAAGGCATTCACTGAAGTATTATTTAAGCAGTGGGGTGACATCAGATTTGTGATTTGAAAAGATTAGTCTTGCTGCTCTGTGAAAAATGAATTGGAGTTAAGCAAGAAAAGGTGGAAGTTCAGAGATGAGCGTAGCAATCCAAGAGATTCTATGATAGTGACTTTTACTAGCATATTGGCATGGAAGTGGAGAGAAATGGATGGATTCAAGAGATAGGAAGTAAGATCAACAGGTCTTGGTAATGGATTGCACTAAGGGGATTAAGGGAAGGGAGGTAACAAGGAAGATGACTCACTTTTTAGTTGTGCAACTAGATTGCTAGTAATACAAATCTCTGAGATAAAGAACCCTAGAAGAAGGACTTTGATACCCCTTACCCCCACTGGAATATTTTTTTAAAGACAGAAGAGGCAGTCAGTTGCAGATTCAAGATACTGGACCGGAATGAGGAGCAAAGTCTTTGGCCTTGGAGGAGGGCCATGGCCCATTTCCTTTGAACTAGAGAGAGGGATGGGGTTGAGCAAGTTGCATACATTTCTGAGGGGTAACAAAGAAAAATGAATTATTTCATTTTTAGTAATAGAGGCATTCAGTTACTGGGTGACAAAGTCCCCTGAACTATCCAGACAGCTATATTGCCTATTCCTGGCAATCCAAAGGTTTCTAGACCTGTCCACTACACTGTAGTAATACTGTACTACAGTAGTCACTAGCCACATGCAACTATACAGCATCTGAAATGTCGCTGGTCCAAATTGGGATGTATTCTAAGCATAACACACGTCAGATTTTTTAAACTTCGCATTAAAAACAGAACAGAACATAAGTGTTTTTTAAAATATTGATACTGGGCGGCCGGGCGCGGTGGCTCACACCTGTAATCCCAGCACCTTGGGAGGCCAAGGCGGGCGGATCACGAGGTCAGGAGATCGAGACCATCCTGGCTAACACGGTGAAACCCCATCTCTACTAAAAATACAAAAAATTAGCCGGGCGTGGTGGCGGGAGCCTGTAGTCCCAGCTACTCGGGAGGCTGAGGCAGGAGAATGGCGTCAACCTGAGAGGCGGAGCTTACAGTGAGCCGAGATCGCGCCACTGCACTCCAGCCTGAGTGACAGAGCAAGACTCCGTCTCAAAAAAAAAAAAATATATATATATATGTATACACACACATATATATCTGATTTTTTAAACTTTGTATTTAAAACAGAAGTATTTATACACATATATGTGTGTGTGTATATATAGAGAGAGAGAGACAGACAGAGAGAGAGATCGGGCGTCGTGACTCATGCTTGTAATCCCAGCACTTTGGGAGGTCGAGGCGGGTGGATCACTTGAGGTCAGGAGTTCAAGACCAGCCTAGATAACATGGCGAAACCCCATCTCTACTAAAAATAACAAAAACTAGCCGGAGTGATGGCAGGCATCTGTAATCCCAGATTACAATCCCAGATTGCGCCACTGCAACTCCAGTCTGGGAGACAAAGCAAGACTCCATCTCAAAAAATTTTTTGATTATATGTTGAAATAATACTATTTGGGATGTGTGGGTTAAATAAAATATCTGATTGTTTCTATTTTGACTTTTTTAATGAGGCTACTGGAAATTTTTTTTTCCAGTTCCAGTTCCAGACGGGGTTTCACCGTGTTAGTTAGCCAGGATGGTCTCGATCTCCTGACCTCGAGATCCGCCCGTCTCGCCTCCCAAAGTACTGGGACTACAGGCTTGAGCCACCGCACCCGGCCGGCTACTGGAAATTTTTAGATTACGTATATGATTCGAATTCTATATCTATTGGACAGTGATGTTATAGACAGAAATTCAGCCTAGTCAGGAGACCAGCTTGAACCGGGAGGCGAAGGTTGCAGTGAGCCGAGATCGCACCTTTACACTCCAGCCTGAGCAACAGAGTGAGACTACGTCTCAAAACAAACAAACAAAAATAAAAACATTCAGGGTAGTGCTGCAAGATACATCATTCTAGTTCTAGCTGAAGGCATATCTAAGCCAGCAGGTGGCTCCCATCCGGTTTCACGCATCCCTAGGACGCTGCCCGGGCTGCGGGACTTGAAGCGCGGGAATCTCGGCCCTGGCACCGACTCCCAGGAAAAACTACAGGGCCCGGCGTGCACTGCGCGCCTCTGGGGGCGGGAGCCGGAAGGAACTGGCGGCATTGTGACGTCACGTCCGTCTCGCAGGCGGATTCTCCTCGCTCTCTTCGAGGCGCGTGTGATGGAGGTGGGAGGGGAAGCTCAGCGAAGCAGTGGGGAGACGGGGCAGGTGCATCCGGGCTAACTTTACCGAGTCTGTTTTTGAGGGAAGAGGTTGTGAGGACCGTATCTTCTGGGACGCATTTCACGTGGGAAGGCGCTCCACGCCTGGAACTGTCAGCAGCCGGCGCGTGAAGAGCTCCTGCTGCGGGCGAGCGCGGGGCCTCTGGCCTGGCAGCCTCAGGACCTAGTGGGTCAGGCGCTCACGCTGTTCCCACTGCACGACCTCAGTGCCTTGCCTGGCGCCTCCCGTCCTGTAACTGGCCGACTTGGGGTCCCACCCGGGCTTCTCCAGCGGCCGGGAAGGGGCTCTGCTTCCGGAAGTATTAGGAAGGGAGGCAGCGTGAAGCAGGAGTCCCTTCTTCCGAGCATCGCTAAAGCCTTTTCTTCCCTGGCAGCCGATTTCCTTTTCTTTGGAAAGGACGTCAGTTTTTTCGCTTGTTGAAACTGTTCAGAGATGCGGTCTTGTGGGCAAATACATGCCTGTTTAACTGAGCTGTTATTTTGAGCTAATAAGTTCTTCAAGTTTTTCAAGATCTAAGAGGGGGTTTAGGCTCGAATTATGATGGACCCAGTGTAGCAAAACATTTATTCATTCCAACAATTGTGCATGCCCATTCAGACTCAACTACCTGAGTGAGATGATGCCGTTCTGGGCTGCTTCGTTTTAGGGAGTCACTGTTTCTTCTGGCAACTTCTACCTGCCTTGGCTATTGAGGTTTGTGAATTGCACCTCTGGTTTAGTTTCAGGTCGATGGCCAGGTGGTCTTCATAAACTATACTGCCTTGTGATGTCTCCCTAGAAATGAGAGCTGAGTCCCTTCCAAATGAGGATTCTACGGTCCCCTGTGCTTTCTTTTGACAAGGCTTGCGCTGGCGCTCTGACTTCCAGGTCACCGTGTCTCACTTCCTGCAAATTTTTGTTTGAAATCACTATGGTCTGATTTACCATTATGGTTCGCTACAGTAGCAAGCCTGCACATTGCGCTGCAGGGGGATTCATAGCAATACCATCTTTCAAAAGCTACCTGAACTGGGACTCAGGAAAGCCTTTTTTGTTTTTTTGAGACGGAGTCTCCCTCTGTCACCCAGCCTGGAGTGCAGTGGCACAATCTCGGCTCATTGCGACCTCCGCCTCCCAGGTTCAAGCGATTCTCCTGCTTCAGCCTCCCGAGTAGCTGGGACTACAGGCACGCGTCATCACGCCCGGCTAATTTTTGTGTTTTCAGTAGAGACAGAGTTTCACCACTTTGGCCAGGCAGGTCTCGAACTCCTGACCTCAGGTGAGCCACCGCGCCCAGCCTTCAGTTTTGTTTTACAATGCTTAGCTGTGTCTATCACCATACAAGCTCATTTTCTACTAAGAAGCTTTTTGTATATTGAGTCCAAATGAGGTCAGGATGTATCCAATGAGCATTGATAGGGCCAAGAGTGAGATTTCCCTGCCAAGTATCCTAGGGATCTGCTTGATGGTTTTTTTCTTCATGGCTTTCTATGCCCATTACAGCCCTCCCCCTTTCACCCCCACCACCAAGTAGCTAAAGGCAAATTAACCAGGAAAATCATCAAATGTTATTTCTTGTAATAGTAATCACAGTTGACCTTAATTATGCTCAACATTGTAGAAATTGCTTTTTATAAGTATTATTTAACCCTCACAGTAACCCTAAGTATTATTTAATCTTCACAATAATCTAAATAGGTTAGATATTATTATTATCACTTTTTTGACAGATGAAGAAACAGACACAGCAAGGTTAAGTAGTCTATTCAGCATCACAGTTAATTTGTGGGAAAGCCAAAATTAGAACCCAGAAAGGTTGACTCCAAAGCCCACACCCTTAAGTAGAGCTCTATGAGAACACATAACTGCTGAGAAACATCTCAGTGGGGATTTACTCGAGGGCGGTAGAGAACCACTCTGCTGTAGGGGAAAGAAGAGAAAAATAAAATGCCTGGAAAAAGAGGACAGATAAGAACATCTGCCCAGAAAGATAAACCTTATACAGTGAGAGTCTGCCCAAAGCAAGTGAGTCTGCAATCCTTTACGTGCTGTTTCCAATGAAAATTGGAGTAGTGAGGACATTTCCTTCTCGTGTCCTTTAATGTGGAGTAGAGGATGCAGACTCATTAGAAATGTATCAGATATCTAACATTAAAAAAAAAAACTTGAAACAGTATTTTGGGGGATTGGTAGAATTTGAGGTTTCTTTGATCTTTCATTAAAAATGAAAAGGGGGCAGGGAGATAGGAGGAGAAAATGATCCGTAGAGTTCCAGATAGGGAAACTTCAGTGTGACTAGTTGGGCTCCATTTAAAAGACTTGAAGCATGGATATGAGAGGCTGTAGCATCATGCACTTGTTCTCCTTTCCGTATTTCTGATGGTTGTGGTTTTTGATCAAGGTCTCAGCACCAGCTCAGACCATGTGGACCGCAGATGAGATTGCTCTGCTGTGCTATGAGCACTATGGCATCAGGCTGCCCAAGAAGGGGAAGCCTGAGCCAAACCATGAGTGGACATTGTTGGCAGCTGTGGTGAAGATACAATCTCCAGCTGACCAGGACTGCGACACCCCTGATAAGCCGGCAAAAGGTAAGAGTTTTTCTCCTTGGCACGCTCCTCACTGTGGAAGATGATAAAATTATACATTGCTGTACTGTGCAGGGACAGTCATGGGTAGGGTGTGAACTACGATGTTAGGCATGTGTGCTTGTGCTCCGCTAGGTGGCACAGTACCTCTGATGGTGAGAGACCACCGTGCTGGAACCGCAGGCCTTGGTTGAGTGGGCCTCTGAGAATCTCCTGGAGGAGTGTGCAGGCTGACTGTACCTGAGCACTGGGGAACATTCCGTTTCTCAGAACTCACACGATTTGTTTTTTTCCCACAGTGACAAAGGAAGTTGTCTCAATGGGAACGGGAACAAAATGCATAGGCCAGTCCAAAATGAGGAAGAGCGGTAAGCATGGGTGGGAGTCTAAACAAAGATTTAGCTTTGGAAACCAGTGTCCGTGTTTTACTCTCCTTGTCAGAGAAGAAGGGCCATGTCAGTTGAGGCACATGGCATTTGTTTCCTACTGACTGTCAGTCCAGTTGGAAGGACAGTACTCACTTGGAGAATGGAAATCCACCATCAAAGCAGAGGCCTCTAGGAACATGCTTTCCGAATAACTGAAAGCTAGCCAGTATTTTCATGCTCAAACCAGATTCCCTGGGCTTAGCTGTTCCACATTGGGTCTGGAAGGCTTTGGGGCTCTGTAGCAGGTACAGGATGCAGCTTGAGTGGTTTCTGAAGCCCTAGAAAGCAATCTTTTTTTTTTTTGCTTGGAGTCTCACTCCGTCGCCCAGGCTGGAGTGCAATGGCGCGACCTCGACTCACTGCTCTGCAACCTCCCCTTCCCGGGTTTAAGCGATTCTCCCGCCTCAGCCTCCCGAGTAGCTGGGATTACAGGCACCTGCCATCATGCCTGGCTAATTTTTGTATTTTTGTAGAGACAGGATTTCACCATGCTGGCCAAGCTGGTCTTGACCTCCTGACCTCAGGTGATCCGCCTGCATTGGTCTCCCAAAGTGCTAGGGTTAAAGGTGTGAGCCAACGCACCTGGCAAGCAGTCTTGAATGACAGGAAGCTTTGGGCCTCAACAAGAATATGAAAATTCCTTAAATTCCTTAGAGATCTGGGGGTTTTTATTTGTTTTGTTGCTTCTTTTTTTTTTTTTTTTTTTTTTTTTCGGGGTCTCTCTCTTTCTCCCAGGCTGGAGTGCAGTGGCCGGATCTCAGCTCACTGCAAGCTCTGCCTCCTGGGTTTGCACCATTCTCCTGCCTCAGCCTCCCGAGCAGCTGGGACTACAGGCGCCCGCCACCTCGCCTGGCTAGTTTTTTTGTGTTTTTTAGTAGAGACGGGGTTTCACCTTGTTAGCCAGGATGGTCTCAATCTTCTGACCTCATGATCCGCCCGTCTCGGCCTCCCAAAGTGCTGGGATTACAGGCTTGAGCTACCGCGCCCAGCCTCTTTTCTTTTTTAAGAGACAGGGTCTCACTGGAGTACAGTGGCACCATCATCGCTCACTGCAGCCTTGAACTCCTGCGCTCAAGTGATCCTCCCGCTTCAGCCTCCTGAGTAGCTGGACTACAGGTGTGCACCACTATGCCCAGCTAATTTTTTTCATTTTTATTTTGTAGAGACTTGGTCTGTGTTGGCGAGGCTGGTCTCAAACTCCCAGCCTCAAGCTATCCTCCTGCCTTGGCCTCCCAAAGTGCTGGGATTACAGGCATGAGCCACTGCGTGACTGGCCGAGACCTGGGATCTTTACCTCTTCTTCTAGCTAGCAGGTTCCTTTTTGAGTTGGCTTCCACCATTGTCCTTGCCTGTATATGAGGAACCTGTTCCAGGATCACTGTGGATTGGATTAGATGGAATTGTATCACCATGAGCACAAGTATGATACCTCTGTACAAAAGATCTGGACCCTTATTCTCCAGATAATTTTTTTCTATACATTCGTGTTTCTCAACTGGGGGTGATTTGCACCCCAGAGGACATTTGGCAATGTCTGGAGACATTTTTAGTTGTTACAACTGAGAGAGGGGTGCCAGTGGCATCTCATGGGTAGAGGCCAGGAATACTACTAATAAACAGTCTACAGTGTTTGGGATAGACCCCCCACAACAAAGAATTTTCTGGCCCAAAATGTCTACAGTGCTGGGTTGAGAAACCCTACAGCCAATGCATTGTTATTCGTGATTGTGGTGCCTTCTGACAAAGCTCTCCAGGAGCTACATGGCCATCCTGGGTGCTGGTGGAACTGCTGTGTTCTGCCTCTAGGAACCAGAGCCTCTCCAGCTTCCATATGTCTTCACCTGGTATCCTATCTTTGCCACAGGAGACATCCTCAATGATAGCCATGCTGAGGTCATAGCCAGAAGGAGTTTCCAAAGGTAAAGCCACATCCCCAGAGTATGGTTCAGCAGGGCTGGGGTGGGAGTCCCAGAATTTCCGGGATTTTTTTGTTTGTTTGCTTGTTTTTGAGACGGAGTCTTGCTCTGTCGCCCAGGCTGGAGTGCAGTGGCGCTATCTTGGCTCACTGCAACCTCCGCCTCCCGGGTTCATGCCATTCTTCTGCCTCGGCCTCCCGAGTAGCTGGGACTATAGGCATCCACCACCACACCTGGCTAATTTTTTTTTTCCTGTATTTTTAGGATAGACGGGGTTTCATCGTGTTAGCTAGGATGGTCTCGATCTCCTGACCTTGTGATCTGCCCGCTTCAGCCTCCCAAGATGCTGGGATTACAGGCGTGAGCCACTGTGCCCGGCCGTTTTTGTTTTTTTGGGTTTTTTGTTTGTTTGTTTGTTTTTGAGACCGAGTCTTGCTCTGTTGCCCAGGCTGGAGTGCAGTGGCACAATGTCGGCTCACTGCAGCCTGCGCCTGCTGGGTTCAAGCGGTTCTCCTGCCACAGCCTCCCAAGTAGCTGAGACTACAGGCATGCGCCACCATGCTCAACTGATTTTTTGTATTTTTAGTAGAGATGGGGTTTCACCATGCTGGCCAGATTGGTCTCGAACTCCTGACATTGTTATCCACACGCCTCAGCCTCCCAAAGTGCTGGGATTACAGGCGTGAGCCACCACGCCTTGCCTGGAATTTACATTTCTAATAAGCTCCTAGGTAATACAGATTATATTAGTCTATAAACTACACTTTGAGTAGCAATGTGGTCTTGACTAGTGGTGGTCTATCTCTTTTTTTTTTTTTTTTTGACACTGGGTCTTGCTCTGTCACCTAGGCTAGAGTGCAGTGATGTTATCTCAGCTCATTGCAGCCTTTAGAGACAGGGTGTCACTATGCTACCCAGGCTGGTCTTGGATTCCTGGGCTCAAACAACCCTCCTGCCTTGGCCTCCTAAAGTGCTGGATTTACAGTCATGAGCCGCATGCCTGACCTGGACTAGTGGTTCTCAAACTTGATTGTGCATCAGAACAACCTGGAAGGTTTGTTAAAACCCAGATTGCTGAGCCCGCCACAGAGATTCTGATTCAGCAGATCTAGGGTGGAACCTCAGCAATTGAGTTTCTTTTTTTTTTTTTCTTTAAAAAAAAAAAATGGAGTCTCACTCTGTCACCCAAGTTGAAGCACAGTGGCACAATCGTAGCTCACTACAGCCTCAAACTCCGGGGTTTAAGCAGTCCTCCTGCCTCAGTCTCCCAAGTAGCTGGGGTTATAGATGTGAGCAACCGAGGCCAGTTGAAATTTGGAGGGCTAACAAATTCCCAGGTGATGGTGATGCTGCTGGTGCAGGGACCACACTTTGAGAATCACTGGTCTAGAGCATTCTCATAATTCCCAATCCCTACCAGTCCCACTAGTCTACAGTACTTCTGTCTTAGTAATCACCCTACCAGAGGCTTTCCCCTTAACCACAGAGATTGGTTGTTCATCCTAATAACATCTTGCAACCCTTAGGTACCTTCTCCATCAACTCCAGTTGGCAGCCACCCTGAAAGAGGATAGCATCTTTGTCCCAGGAACTCAAAAAGGACTGTGGAAACTCAGAGGAGACCTCATTTTCGTGTTTTTCTCCAGCCACACACCCTGTAAGTATATTCAAGCCTTTGGATTAATGTTACATGGACTACTTCCTTATGGTTGTGTTATCCATAGATAGGTTTTTCCTGAAAAGCACTAATGGCTGAAGTAGCCACAAGTAGTGACAGTGCCTTTTTATGACAGGCCAGTGTATCTAATCATTTCTAAAGGTTTCATCTAAAGAGAAGGCAGAGGTAAGGGGTATAGAGTCTCACTGACACTATTAGTCAATTCTCAGAATCAGGATTAGGGGCATAAGGCTGAAACCTCACAAGATGTGAAGCCAACATGGGGCTTAGAAGTCCTATAGTAACATATCCTAAAACTCATTTCATCCATTCAGTCGTTGAACAAATACTTTCTGCTGTTTGTCAGGCACGATATGACATACTGAGTGTACAGAAGTGAATAAGACTAGCACATTGCTTACCTTCGTAGTCTTTTAGGGAATGTAGACAGTCATGGTTAGGGTAAATTTTGATGGGTTGTAAGGGTATGTTCGGGTGCTATGGCTGCATAAGACGGGAAGACCTAGCCTGGGGTGAGGGGGGCATCATTTCTACCTTTTGTTTTTCTTTCTTAAAAATTGAAAATAACTTCTGCCTTTTGTGGATAACAACTCAGGATGGCAGCAAAATTTTGTCACCCTAAAAGCTTTGAAATAAGGATATAAAATAAAACTTTAAAACTTTTAAGCTTTAAAACTAACACATGCAATTAGAGCAGAGATAAGAAATCACTAGGAAGAAATAGAATAGCTGTCTAGATCTGATCATAACTCCAATTGAAAATACAGATACAACTTAAGAAAGAATGAGACCAATTACACGGTGGCTCATACCTGTAATCACAGCACTTTGGGAGGCCAAGGTGAGCGGATCACCTGAGGTCGGGAGTTTCAGATCAGCCTGACCAACATGGAGAAACCCTGTCTCTACTATATATACAAAATTAGCTGGGCATGGTGGTGCATGCCTGTAATCCCAGCTACTCGGGAGGCTGAGGCAGGAGAATCGTTTGAACCCAGGAGACAGAGGTTGCAGTGAGCCGAGATTGCACCATTGCACTCCAGCCTGGATGACAGGGCAAGACTCTATCCAAAAAAAAAAAAAAAAGAAAGAAAGAAGGAAAGAGTGTGAGAAAAGAGTTTGAGTCAAAGCCCAGAAAAATGACACACAGAGGTAGGCAGGGCTCATCCACGCTCTATTCTTACCTGTAAGGGCCCTAGTCCAAGGCCCAAAGGATGTTTCCTAATCAGCTCCTCTCAAGCTGTAATATGCACATGAATCTCCTGGGGAACATGCAGATTCAGATTCATTAGGTCTGGAGTGGGGCCTGAGGTTCTGCATCTAGCCAACTCCCAAAGCATGCCAGCGGTGTGGGTCCGTAGACCACACATTGAGTAGCTAGGACCAGAGCGATCCCAGTGACAGGTATAGCCTTATTGTGGAGAAAGATGCATCTGAGGATCACAGCCTGATGGCCTAATCCAAACTTATCTAACCCACGGCCCGCCTGGTTACATATGGGCCCAGGACGGCTTTGAATGTGACCCAAGACAAATTCTTAAACTTTCTTAAAACGTTGTGAGATTTTTCTTGCGATTTTTTTTTTTTAGTTCATCAGCTATCGTTTGTGTTCGTGTATTGTGTTGTGTGTGGCCCAAGACAATGTTTATTCTTCCAGTGTGGCCCAGGGAAGCCAAAATACTGGACATTTACAGAGTTTGATTATGCCCTAATCAAACTCCACAAGTCAGTGGTCTGCATACAGGTGCTGATCTGTGAGAACAGTCCATGAAAAAACAAGAAAGCTCAAGACTATGTAGTGAATTTTGCAAAACTAATTTCTTTCACTTTAAAGGATGTGAGAGTTATTTTTTTTTTAAGTGATGGTGATTGAATTTTTTTTTTTTCTTGATCTCGGTTCATTGCATCCTCCACCTCCCGGGTTCAGGCGATTCTCCTGCCTTGGCCTCCCGAGTAGGTGGGATTATAGGCGTGCACCACCACATCCAGCTAATTGTTTTGTATTTTTAGTAGAAATGGGATTTCACCACGTTGGCCAGGCTGTTCTCGAACTCCTGACCTCAAGTAATTCACCCGCCTTGGCCTCCCAAAGTGCTGGGATTACAGGTGTGAGCCACCGTGCCTGGCCAGTAATTGAGATTTTTAAAGATCCTCCTTGATGGAATAAAAAGTTGGCAACCCTCTGCTCATCTTAAAAATCTTCTGGAAATTTTGCTGGTAATCTTTTAAAATGTGATGTCCTCCCAAGGTTTGTCTGCAGAAAGAACATTACCTAGAGAATGTGACTCTCTGGCTCCCTTGGCATTCACATCCTATTACTAATTAATAATTTGTTGACTGGGTTATCTACTTCAGGCTCTTACTTATGAGTTTTATTAACATGAGTCAGGCTCTTGCATTCAGGCATTCTGTCAAGATCAGTCTCCAACCCTGCAGCGTGGGAGATGGACCCTGGTGAGTTCTCCAAAGTCACTGTGACCTTGTGAGGTCTCTGGAAGTTAGCCAGCCAACCTCTCCAGATACATTCCCACTTCTGTATCTCTTGCCTGTCCCACTCTTGAGTTATAAAGATTACAGATGTATTATTTATACGCTTTAGAAAAGCAACATTCATTAGGTTAGTGTTTGAAGAAATATTTCCCTTCTCAAGGGAGAGCTGTGGTTCTTACTGACCTCTAGTTTTCTTCAGTTTCCTATAAGGACAGTGGAGATCGGAAATCCCTAAACCAGCAAGAGGGAACACTGGAAATTTTGGAAACACTGGTTTACACTAGGTGTGTAATTTACTTTAGAGTCTTTACTGTGGGGCCATGCATCATAAAATCTCCAAGATGGGGAAATTTTGAGTAATGGTTGCCAAATTTCTTTTCCTTTTTTTGAGATGGAGTCTCGCTCTGTTGCCCAGGCTGGAGTGCAGTGGCACATTCTCGGCTCACTGCAACCTCCGCCTCCTGCGTTCAAGCGATTCTTCTGCCTCAGCCTCCTGAGTAGCTGGGACTACAGGTGCCCGCCACCACGTCCAGCTAATTTTTGTATTCTTAGTAAAGACGGTTTCACCATATTGGCCAGGCTGGTCTCGAACTCCTCACCTCGTGATCCGCCCACCTTGGCCTCCCAAAGTGCTGGGATTACAGGCATGAGCCACCACGCCCTGCCTGCCAAATTTCTTTATGAAAGAAACCACCCACTTTTGTTTTCCGAAGCATCTTAGAGAATAGCATTCCACAAAATGCACTTGGGAAACCTTGTTCATTCTAAGCCAGTGGTTCTCAATTTGGGAAGTTTAGCTCCCCAGGAGACTTTTGGCAACATCTGGAGACATTCTTTATTTTCATAGTGGGACTGGTAGTGCTATTGGCATCTAGTAGGTAGAGACCAGATATGCTGCTAAATATCCTATAATACGTAGGACAGCCCCCACAGCAAAAAGTGATACACTCCAAAGTGTCATTAGTGGCGAGGCACGCTGGCTCACGCCTGTAATCCCAGCACTTTGGGAGGCCAAGGCAGGCAGATCACTTGAGATCAGGAGTTCAAGACCAGACTGGCCAACATGGTGAAACCTCGTCTCTACTAAAAATACAAAATTTAGCCAGGCTTGGTGATGTGCGCATGTAATCCCAGCTACTCAGGAGGCTGAGGCAGGAGAATCACTTGAACCCAGGAGGCAGAGATTGCAGTGAGGCAAGATCACACCACTGCACTCCAGCCTGGGTGACAGAGCCAGACTGCATCTCAAAAAAATGTCATTAGTACAGTGCTTGAGAACCCTGGTCTAAACCCATGTTTCCAAAACTTCCTAGAGATAAAAATTATCTCAGATCTTGGTTAAAGTGTTCTGTTTTGCATACCCTTCTCCAGAAATTCCAACTCACTGGCTCCAGCATAGAGTCTTCAACAAGAGCCTCAGAGAATTCTTATTAGGGAAGTTTGTGCCTGTGCTCTTAACTCATCTCAGGTCAGCTGGGAGAATAGATGAAGTCAGCAGTTCTCAAACTTGAGCTTGCATCAGAATCACCGGGAGAGCTTGTTAGACCCACACGGCTGGGCTGTGCCTCCAGAGTTTCTGATTCAGCAGGTCTACTGTGGGTCCCAAGAGTTTGCATTTCTGATGAATTCCCAAGAGATCCCACTGTGGCTGGTCCAGGGACCTCACTTGAGAACTATTTGTTTAAGGGGGGAGTTCATTCTCTGCAGGTGGGGATGCCTCCATCATTCCAATGCTTGAGTTTGAAGATCAGCCTTGCTGTCCTGTCATCAGAGATTGGGTCAGCAGCTCATCAGTAGAAGCCAGCAGTAACCTGGAAGCTCCTGGAAATGGAAGAAAATGTGAAGACCTTGACAGTCCTGTAACCAAAAAGATGAGGCTTGAGCCTGTGACTGCGGCCAGGGAGGTCACCAACGGAGCCGCTCACCATCAGAGTTTTGGCAAGCAGCAAAGTGGCCCAGTCTCACCAGGCATCAACAGCTGTAATCTCACTGTAGAGGGACTGGCGGCTGTCACCAGAATAGCCCCTGATAGTGCCAAAGTGATAGACGTTTATAGAACTGGAGCCAAATGTGTACCTGGAGAAGCTGGAGACTCTGGGAAGCCCGGTGCTGCATTTCACCAGGTGGGGCTGCTCCGAGTGAAGCCAGGCCGTGGAGACAGAACGCGCTCCATGTCCTGCAGTGACAAGATGGCCCGATGGAATGTCCTCGGATGCCAAGGGGCACTGTTGATGCATTTCCTGGAAGAACCTATCTACCTGTCAGCTGTGGTCATTGGGAAGTGCCCATACAGCCAGGAAGCCATGCAGAGAGCACTGACTGGAAGGTGAGAGGGTAGGGAGGGCTCAATTGGAAGTCATTCCAAGAGGCAGTCTGAGAGTAGGGCCCTGAGAGCATTAAGCATCGCCTTACCTTTTGATCCAACAGTTCCACTTCCAGGAATTTGTCTTAAGGAAATAAAGTATTTGAACATTTAGTTTTGTATGTAATTTTTGTTTATTTGGTTTTGAGATGGAGTCTTGCTCTGTCACCCAGGCTGGAGTGCAGTGGTGTGCTCTCGGCTCCTGCAGCCTCCGCCTCCCAGGTTCAAGTGATTCTCCTGCCTCAGCTTCATGAGTAGCTGGGACTACAGGCGTGTGCCACCATGCCCAGCTAATTTTTGTATTTTTAGCAGAGACAGGGTTTCACCATGTTGGTCAGGCACTCCATGACCAACCAGGTCAGACTGGTCTCAAATTCCTGACCTCAGGTGATCCACCCGCCTCAGCCTCCCAGAGTGCTAGGATTACAGGTGTGAGCCACTGCACCCGGCTACTAATTTTTTTAAAAAAGAAAAAGTAAACAGCTGAAATGCCCAGTAATAGGAGTTTAAGTGTTTTCTTTGTTGTTGTTAAAAATAATATTGATGAATGGCTGGGCATGGCGGCTCATGACTGTAATCCCGGCACTTTGGGAGGTCGAGCGGGGCGGACTGCTTGAGCCCAGAAGTTCTAGACCAGCCTAGGTAACATGGGGAAACCCCGTCTCTACAAAAAATACAAAAACTAGCCAGATGTGGTGGCACACACCTGTAGTCCTAGCTAATAGGGAAGCTGACGCAGGAGGATCACCTGACCCTGGGAAGATTAGGCTGTGGTGAACCCATATCACTCCATTGTACTCCAGCCTGGGTGACAGACCCTGTCTTAAATAAAATAATAATAAGATTGATGAATATTTAATGTGGAAACATGTTCATAGTGGTTAAAGAACAGTTTAGAAGATAAGAAGCCAATTTTGGTCTTAAAGTACATACACACATAGGAAAAATTGTAAGAGGATGAGCAGCAAGGTATTATTAATAATCTCTGAGTTGTAGTATTATGGGTGGTTTTTTTCTTCTTTGTTTTTACTGTATTTTCTAATTTTTCTGCAGCATACATACGTTGCCATTATATATGTTTTTTAACCCTAAACATTAGTTTGGGGTTTTCAAAATGTTTTTGTAGCAACAAAGTTTCACTGGGTCTCACCCATGCTGGAGTGCAGTGGTACAATCAGAGTTTACTACAGCCTCCAGTTCCTGGGCTCAAGTGATCCTCCTGCCTCAACCTTCCGAACAGCTAAGATTATAGGCACAAGCCACCACACTTGGCTGATTTTTAAATTTTTTTTGTAGAGACGGGGTGTTGTTGGGTTACCCAGGCTGGTCTTGAATTCCTGGCTTTAAGCACTGCTCCCACTTAGCCTGCCAAAGTGTTGGGATTATAAGTATGAGCCACCTCACCCAGCCCTAAACATTAGTTTTAACTTTTTTTAAGATAAAAGTCAAAGGATGACCACTCAAGTATGGTCTCCCTAAAGGAGGCAGCCAAACTCAATGCTCTAGTAAATGAGGGCAGGGCAAAGCCATGGCCAGGGCAAGCTTCATAGGCCTATATCAGACGTGAAGCCTCAAGATATGGCCCAGCAATTCCACTCCTAGGTACAACCCAAGAGAAATGAAAACATACATTCACACAAGTAGGCCGGGTACAGTAGCTCATGCCTATAATCCTAGCATCTTGGGAGGCCAAGTCAGGCAGATTGCTTGAGTCCAGGAGTTCAAAACCCCCCTGGGCAACATGAGTAAACCCTGTCTCTACAAAAAATACAAAACTTAGCCGGGCATGGTGGCACACACTTGTAGTCCCATCTGCATGGGGAGCTGATGTGGGAGGATCACCAGAGCCATGGGAGGTTGAGGCTGCAGTGGACCATAATTGCACCACTGTAATCCATCCTAGACGATAGAGACCCTGTCTCAAAAAAAAACAATGTATATGTGTATATAACAAAAACCTGTACATAAATGTTCACAGCAGCATTATTCATAATAGACAAATGTCCATTAGTGGATGAATGGATAAATCAAATGTGGTATGTCCATACAATGCACTGTGATTCAGCCATAAAAAGAACTAAAGTACTGATACATGCTACAGCATGGATGTACTTGAAAACATAATGCTAAGTGAAAGAAATCACATATTGTATAATTTTATTTATGTGAAATATCTAGAACACGCAAATCCATAAAGACAGATAATAGCTTAGTGGTTACCACGGGCTAGGTGCTGTGGCTCACGCCTGTAATGCCAGCACTTTGGGAGGCTGGAGTGGGAGGATTGCTTGAGCCCAGGAGTTCAAGACCAGCCTAGGCAATATGGCAAAACCCCATCTCTACAAAAAATTTAAAAATTAGTCGGACATGGTGGCGCATGCCTGTAGTCTCAGCAACTTGGGAGGCGGAGGTGGGAGGATCGCCTGAGAAGTTGCAGTGAGCCAAGATCATGCGACTGCACTCCAGTCTGAGCAACAGACACCCTATCTCAAAAAGAAAAAAAAAATTTAAGTGGTTACCAGGGAACAGAGAGTGAATGCTAATAGCTACGAGGTTTCTTTTTGGGGTGATGAAAATTCCTTAAATTACGTTACCATGATAGTTGTGCAGTTCTATGAATATACTAAAAACAATCGAATTACCCACTTTAAATGGGTAAATTTTATGGTATGTGAACTATATCCCTATATATTTTTTTTTAAAAAGGCAGCCCTAGGCACTGTACCCAGGATGTTTTCTGTTTTTCCTATTCTGGTACTTGCAGTTGCTTTCTGCTTCATTCTAGACCAGCATCATGTTGGCACCTAGTTTGTTCAAAGATACAAGAGAAAAAAATGAAGCTTTTTTTTATTTTTGTGTTTATTTTTATTTATTTATTTTTTTTGAGACAGAGTCTCGCTCTGTTGCCCAGGCTGGAGTGCAGCGGCACGATCTCGGCTCACTGCAAGCTCCGCCTCCCGGGTTCACGCCATTCTCCTGGCTCAGCCTCCTGAGTAGCTGGGACTACAGGCGCCCGCCACCTCGCCCAGCTAGTTTTTTGTATTTTTAGTAGAGACGGGGTTTCACCATGTTAGCCAGGGTGGTCTCGATCTGACCTCATGATCCGCCTGCCTCGGCCTCCCAAAGTGCTGGGATTACAGGCGTGAGCCACCGCGCCCGGCCTGAAGCTTTTATATTACAGGATAATTTTGGGTTTTGGTGTGTTTGAAGGATTCCCTAGGAAGCAGGTGCCAACACAGTAATGTTTCTGCTTAAACTTTTCAAGTTTCTCAAAGCTTGTATCAGGAATGGAATTTGATGTTACATCCCTGAAGGGTGTTGACTTGATTCTTTGTTATCCGTTCAGAATGAGGGAGAAGCATCTTCTTCCAGCCATGAGGTTCTTGCAATCTTGATTCTATTCTGGAACACTGTCTGCCCAAATAAATAAACAAATCCCCACACCTGCTGAGGCTCGGGGTGATGATGTGAGCCACAATCCTAGATACTGTTTTCCCTAGGCTTGCGCCTAAACTGAATGCATTTTCCCTCTACATTTAGGTGTCAGAATGTATCTGCTTTACCAAAAGGCTTTGGAGTTCAAGAACTAAAAATACTGCAGTCAGATTTACTATTTGAACAGAGCCGCTGTGCAGTACAGGCCAAAAGGGCTGACAGCCCAGGTCGACTTGTTCCTTGTGGGGCAGGTAAGAGATCCAGGTTAGACCTGCCCTGGAGTAACTGCTCCCCTGACTGAAAGTGGCCTCAGAGGGTCCACATCCTCCCAGCCTAGGAAGGCAGTTCACCACTCTAGTGGCTAGTAGTGTGAGCTTTAGAGACACCCACACTAGGTCAGGTTTATGCTCTTGTGATCCCTGGCATGTTATTTACCTTCCCTTGGCCTCAGTTTCTTTTTTTTTTTTTTTTTTTTTTGAGACGGAGTCTGGCTTTGTTGCCCAGGCTGGAGTGCAGTGGCTGGATCTCAGCTCACTGCAAGCCCCGCCTCCCGGGTTCACGCCATTCTCCTGCCTCAGCCTCCCGAGTAGCTGGGAGTACAGGCGCCCGCCACCTCGCCCGGCTAATTTTTTTTGTATTTTAGTAGAGACGGGGTTTCACCGTGTTAGCCAGGATGGTCTCGATCTCCTGACCTCGTGATCCGCCCGTCTCGGCCTCCCAAAGTGCTGGGATTACAGGCTTGAGCCACCGCGCCCGGCCTGCCTCAGTTTCTTTGTCTTCAGATTAGAAGAATATCATTTATCAGGGTTATTGGGAAGATTCAGTGAGAAATTCTATGTAATGGATTTACTCTGTGCCCAGCAAATAAATCCTCAGTGATTGTTAACTATCATAATAATAATGAATTATGAACCACTTAGGCTACTATACCCTGGAGGCCAAGCATCCAAGTAGCAGTCGTTGCCGGTGACATCATATCCAGCTCTCATGAGTCTGTAGAGTCAGAGAAATATTTTTATTAAAATATTTCTGACATTCACAGGAAATTGAACAGTTTTAACCCTAGACTCTTACCTTTTCATAGCCATCAGCTGGAGTGCAGTTCCTGAGCAGCCTTTGGATGTTACTGCCAATGGCTTTCCACAGGGAACAACGAAGAAAACAATTGGAAGTCTTCAGGCAAGGTACAGCATATTGGGGCCGGAGATGGTGGCTGTGAACTCACACTTTACCACTATCTAATTCTATAACATTTTTATTACCCCAAAAAGAACAACTATACCCATTAGCAGTCACTACCTATCTATCCCTCGCTCTCCTCAACCCTAGGAAACCTCTAATTTACTTAATTTACTGCCTGTCTCTGTGGATTTGTCTATTCTGGACATTTTCTATCGTTGGAATCATATAGTATATGACCTTTTGTATCTGGCATCTTTCACTTAGCATGGTGTTTTGGAGGTACATCCATGAGGTAGCTGTATCAGTACTTCATTACTGTTCATGACGTGAATAATATCCCATAGTGTGGATATACCACATTTTGTTTGCCGTTCATTCATGGGTGGACTTTCAGGTTGTATCACTCTTTGGCTGTTGTGAGTAGTGCTGCTATGCAGAACTATGAACATTTCATGTACCGCTTTTTGCATGGCCATATGTTTTCAATTTTCTTGGGTGTACCTAGGAGTAGTAGTACTGGGTCATATGGTAATTGTTATGTCTAACTTTTTGAGGAACTGCTGAACTGTTTTCCATAGCAGCTGTACCATTTTACGTTCTACCAGCAATCTATAAGAGTTCCAATTACCCTGAATCCTTTACAACACTTGTTATTGTCTTTTTTATTGTAGTCATTCTAGTGGGTGTGAAATGGTATCGCATTACAGTCTTTTTTTTTTTTTTTTTTTTTTTTTGAGATGGAGTCTTGTTCTGTCTCCAAAGCTGGAGTGCAGTGGCGAAATCTCGGCTCACTGCAACCTTTGCCCCCCAGGTTCAAGCAGTTCTCCTGCCTCAGCCTCCCTAGTAGCTAGAATTACAGGCATGCACTACCACACCAGCTAATTCTTATATTTTTAGTAGAGAGGGGTTTTGCCATGTTGGCCAGGCTGGTCTCAAACCCCTGACCTGAAGTGATCTGCCCGCCTCAGCCTCCCAAAATGCTGGGATTACAGGTGTGAGCCATCTCGCCCGGCCTCATTGATTTGTATTTCCCTAATGACAAATGGTGTTTAGCATCTTTTTATGTACTTATTAGCCATCTGTCTCTCTACAGCCTCCCAAGTAGCTGGTACTACAGATGCCTGCCAGCATGCCCCGCTAATTTTTTTTGCATTTTTAGTAGAGACGGGGTGTCACTATGTTGGCCAGGCAGGTCTTGAATTCCTGACCTCGTGATCTGCCCACCTTGGCCTCCCAAAGTGCTGGGTTACAAGCATGAGCCACCGCACCTGGCCTATAACTGGTAGTTTTCGAATGTTCACTTATTGAGGTCTTCTTTCATAAACTTCAGTAAGTTTTATAGCTTTCTTATATAAATCTTTCACATCTTGTATTAGATGTATTCCCTGAATGTATATTAGTTATCTGTTTCTATGTGACAAATTGCCCCCAAAATAACAGCTTAAAACAACAATATACATTTATTATTTCACATAGTTTATGTGGCTCTGGAATTGAGGAGGAGCTTAGCTAAGTAATTGTGGCCCAGCAGTTTATGAAATTGCGGTCCGTTATGGCAGCCACAGCTGCAGTTATCTGAAGACTTGACTGGGCTCAAAGATCCAGTTCCAAAATGGTTCCCTCGCATGGCTGACAGGTCAGTGTCAGCTGTTGGCAGGAGGTTTCAGTTCCTTATAACAAGGGCCTCTCCACAAGGCTACCAGGGTATTCAGCTTCACGACCCAGTGGCTGGCTTCCCCCAGAACAGGCAATCCAGGAGAGCAAAGCAGAAGCCAGTGTCTTTCATGACCTAGCCTCTGAAGCCACAGTCTACCTGTAATGTCTTAATGGTTATTCAGATCAGCCCTATTAAGTGTGGGAGGAGATTGCAAAGGGGCATGAATACCAGGAGGCAAGAATCACTGGGAACCATTCTGGAGTTTGGCTATCACAGGTGCTATTTTTAGGTAGCTTTTTATCCCATTTTCTGGTTATTGCTGTTGCAATTAAGCTTTTGTTCCTCTTTGTGGCAATTAGTGTTGGTTGCTAGATAAAAACACTAACCTTACCATTATCACTAGAATAATAATTCTACTCCTATAATCCCAGCACTTTGGGAGGCTGAGCTGGGGGATTGCTTGAAGCCGGGAGTTCGAGACCAGCCTGGGCAGCAAAATGAGACCCCCCCCATCTCTAAAAAAACAAACAATAGCAACTACAACAAAACCAATTTGTCTGGGAATTCTTTTGGGATTTGTGGAGTTGTTTTTTTTTTGTTTTTTGTTTTTTTTTTTTTGAGACAGTTTCACTCTTATTGCCCAGGCTGGAGTGTAGTGGCGCAATCTCAGCTCACTGCAACCTCTGCCTCCCAGGTTCAAGCAATTTTCCTGCCTCAGCCTCCCGAGTAGCTGGGATTATAGACACCTGCCATCAAGCCCAGCTAATGTTTTGTATTTTTAGTAGAGATGGGATTTTGCCATGTTGGGCAGGCTGGTCTTGAACTCCTGACCTCAGGTGATCCAGCCACCTCAGCCTCCCAAAGTGCTGGGGTTACAGATATAAGCCACTACACCCAGCCTCTTTTGGGACTTTTTAAATGTAGACCATCATGTACAAATACAGCTGATTTTTCAACAATGTGGGTGTTAGTGGTGCCAACCCCCCTTGCAGTCAAAAATCTGCATGTAACTTTTGGCTCTCCAAAAACATCAAGCCTGTTTTTGACCAGAAGCCTTAACATAAACAGTCAATTAACACATATTATGTATGTTATGTGTATTATATATGTATTCTTACAATAAAGCAAACTAAAGAAAATAAAATGTTATTAAGAAAATCATAAGGAATAGGCCAGCCGCTGTGGCTCACATCTGTAATCCCAGCACTTTGGGAGGCTGAGGCAGACAGATTACTTGAGGTCAGGAGTTAAAGACCAGTCTGGCCAACATGGCAAAACCTTGTCTCTACTAAAAATACAAAAATTAGCTGGGCTTGATGGTGCGCGCCTGTAATCCCAGCTACTTGGGAGGCCAAGGCAGGAGAATTGCTTGAACGTAAGAGGCAGAGGTTGCAGTGAGCCGACATCACACCACTGCACTGCAGCCTGGGCCACAGAGTAAGACTCCATCTCAAAAAAAAAAAAAAACAGAGAGAAAAGCATAAGGAATAGAAAATATATTTATTCATTAAGTGGAACCGGATCATGATGAAGGTCTTTATCTTCATCATCTTCATGTTGAGTAGGCTGAGGGGGAGGAGGAGAAGAGGAGGCTTTGGTCTTGCTATCTCAGGGGTTGCAGAGGCAGAAGAAAATCTGTGTGTAAGTGGACGCACACAGTTCAAGCCTGTGTTGTCCAAGGGTCAACTGTAGTGTTTCTTTCCAATCTTCTCTTCCTTTTATTTATTTATCTTACGTTACTGTGTTGACTAGAACTGACAGTATCCAAATCATCTGCAGATGACGACTTGGTTTTTGTTTTTCACTTCTCTTTCTTTTTTGTTCTGCTGGCCAGAACCTTCTGTATAATGTTGAATAAAAGCGGTGATAGCAAGTACCCCTTGTCCTATTCCTGATTTTAAGGACATATGTTTGCTATAGATTTTTTATAGTTGCCCTTTATAAATGTAAGTACTTTTCCCGAGTCCTAGTTTGCCAAAAGGTTTTTAATAATTCAAAGGATGTTGAATTCTACCAAATGCTTTCTTTGCATATATTTTTCCTATAGTTATATATATGTACGTGTGTGTGTGTGTATTTTTTTTTTTTTTTGAGACAAAATCTCACTCTGTCACCCAGGTTGGAGGGCACTGGCACAGTCTCGGCTCACTGCAACCTCTGCCTCCTGGGTTCAAGTGATTCTTGTGCTTCAGCCTCCTGAGTAGCTGGGATTACAGGCATGCACCACCAGTCCCAGCTAGTTTTTGTATTTTTAGTAGAGACAGGGTTTTACCATGTTAGCCAGGCTGGTCTTGAACTCCTGACCTCAGATGATCTGCTCACTCACCTCAGCCTCCTAAAGTGCTGGGATTACAGGCATGAGCCACCGTGTCTGGCCATCTCTAATTATATTATTTTTCTTTAATTTGTTCATGAGAGTTCCATTAATTTTTGCTTTGTTTTCATGCTAAAATGGCCTCATCTTCCTGAGTGCCAGCAGCCACTCCAGCTAAGGCCTTGGGAGAGCAGTGTCTGAGGGCTCAGGGTTCCCCTTTAAGCAGCAGTTCTTAAAGCAGGCTGGGTTCCAGCCAGGTAAGGGAGATTTTGTGCAGACTCCATAATTCCCTATTTCACATGTACCAGTTACGATCATGGTGTCCACGCTGAGGGTGCGATCTGCTGGGATGATGCAGGGTGTGTACCATTTATGGTCACGGTGTTCATGCTGAGGGTGCGATCTGTTGGTCTGCTGGGGTGATACAGGGTGTGTAGCAGTTATGGTCACAGTGTCCATGCTGAGGGTGCGATCTGCTGGTCTGCTGGGGTGATGCAGGGTGTGGACCAGTTATGGTCACAGTGTCCATGCTGAGGGTGCGATCTGCTGGTCTGCTGGGGTGATGCAGGGTGTGGACCAGTTATGGTCACTGTGTCCATGCTGAGGGTGTGGTCTGCTGGGGTGATGCAGGGTGTGTAGCAGTTATGGTCACGGTGTCCACATTGAGGGTATGGTCTGCTGGTCTGCTGGGTGATGCAGGGTGTGGACCAGTTGTGGTCATGGTGTCCACGCTGAGGGTGTGATCTGCTGGTCTGCTGGGGTGATGCAGGGTGTGGTGTGTGAAAGAGAGACTGCACGTTGTTGGTACACACAGCATTTCCCAGTTTCTAGATGCAGCTCGTGAATTGTGTACATGAGGGAAAAGAAGGCAACCACGAAGGCCTGGGTGGGCTCATAAAGAGTCAACACTCACTTCCTTAAGTATTCCAAACCATGATCTCCACCCAGAATTGTGTTGTTTAGGAGCAAACGCTTGGTCTCTAAAGGCTGTGATGCCCATGGCAGGAGTCCGGGGATTCTGCCTCAGGCGGCTCGTCCAAGTGGATTTTATAATGACGATTCACACAGGGAACAGCACTCATGTCTCTGAAACAAAGCTTTCAATTTCTTGTAAACCCATAGGGGCCAGCTCCCTTGAAAGGAGGTAGCCAGAAGTGTCTTACAGATATCCTGGGGCAAAATTTTGTAATTGCACCTCAGGGTACCCATTTGGGCTTGTCACTTTAATGATCCCACTGCTGATGACATTTCTTAAGGTTAGACTCATTTTTGTACCTCACTCTAATCAGACATCCGGGTCTGGATTTTCTCCTCACCAAATACAAGTGAAATCTTCAAACCTAAAAACCATGTGAAGCCTAGCATCTTTGTGATAGGGGCTTGGAACATACTAAACACTTAATAAATCGTCTTTGCCTTCTTTTTCCAAACAGATCCCAAATCAGCAAAGTTGAACTGTTTAGATCATTCCAGAAGCTGCTAAGCAGAATTGCAAGGGACAAGTGGCCAGACTCCCTCAGGTGATGCTATTGACCTATGTTTTCTCATATTTAGGAAGACATCTGTTTTGATTCTGGCTTCTGAGTAGCAAGAAGCTTTGGCAGGAGTAGTGGTTCGGCAAGCCTGTGGCACTTATTGTTGACGACAAGTTCTTCTTTCCCCATAGCTCTCTTTGTAGATACATGCATGATCTGAGATGCAGAGGATGGGTAGTTCGGTGGTATAGAGTTATAAAAAACTAAGGATAGAACTGGGGCTTGGCCATTCCAGACCCTCCTTTGATTCCACCTCTAGGTGGAGATCACTGTGGAAATGGGAGTGTTCTAAGAGCAAAATACTCTGTTACAAGTGTTACTCTCCTCTTTTCCTTTTGAACTTGCAGCTCCATGACTTAAATTGCTCTTCAAACAAAAATGTAGAGAACTTTAAAACCACTCTTGGGAACAAGTAGGTGGGTGCAGTGACGTTCTGACAGTGACCATCTAGAGTTAGGTGAAGTCTCACAGGTGAAGGACACAGTTCCCACAAAAATGCCTTCATTTCAGACACCTGCTGCAAGTTAAGGAGGGCCCCAAACCACCCATACTTCTGACCAACTGGCTGCAAATTTGAGTGTCTCCACTCCCCTTCATGTTCAGTTATTCACTAGAACATCTCTCAGAACTCAGGAAAGCTCTATAGTTGCCATTAAAAGTTTTATTATGAAGGCTACAGATGAGTACTAGCCAAAAGGAGAGAGATATAGTAAGGGATATAGTAAGATATGTGAGGGTCCCAAAGGCAGAGCTTTCATGTCCTCAGGACACATCACCTTCCCAGCACATTGCTGTCCGTCACCAACCAGGAATCTCACTCAGACATCAGTGTCCAAAGTTTTTGTTGGAGTTTCATTAGCTATTATGATTGATTGAATTATTGGCCACATGATGTGATTGAACTTAATCTCCAACCCCCTCCTCTCCCAAGAGGTCAAACTGATATCACGTGTCTCAGAGCCCTAATTCTCTACGTGGCTGGTCTTTCTGGCATGACCAGTATCATCCTGAAACTATCTCGGGGGCCCACCATGAGTTACCTGGTCAAACATAAACTCACGTGTGATCAGAGAGATCTGCCATGCATGACAAAGACACTTCCAGAAACTCCAAAGTTTAGAGGCTCCCAGGAACTGGTGACAAAGACCAAGTGAATCCTTCATTATATGCCAGTGGGGAAAGTAAGGAGTAGCTAGAAGCTTCTGTATGAAGAGGCTGGCCACTTGTCATCACCATCACGCATACTGAAGTAATGCATCTGTGGTCAGTTGGCTTCTTTCTTGGGTTTCCATATATTCTATATGTCAAATCTGAATTGAGGTAAGGAGATACTTCTAAGACGGAGTTTTGCTCCTGTTAACCAGGCTGGAGTGCAGTGGCGCAAACTCACCTCACTGCAACCTCTGCCTCCCCAGGTTCAAGTGATTTTCCTGCCTCAGTCTCCAGAGTAGCTGGGATTATAGGTGCATGCCACCACGCCCGACTAATTTTTTGTATTTTTAGTAGGGATAGGGTTTCACCATGTTGACCAGGCTGGTCTTGAACTCCTGACCTCAGGTGATCCACCCACCTCAGCTTCCTAAAGTGCCAGGATTACAGACGTGAGCCACCATGCCCGGCATGTTTGTTTGTTTGTTTTTGAGACAGGGTAACTGAGACGATTAAGGGAAGTGTTGCATATGACCAAGAGCCTAGTTTGTAGTAGGGTTTTGATAACTGGTAGTTACTTTGTTTTTTTTTGTTTTTTTTTGAGACAGTGTCTCGCTCTGTCGCCCAGGCTATGTAATACAGTGGCACAATCTTAGCTTACAAGAACCTCCACTTCCCGTGTTCAAGTGATTCTCCTGCGTCAGCCTCCCAGGTAGCTGGGACTACAGGCGCCTGCCACCATGCCCAGCTAATTTTGTATTTTTAGTAGAGACGGGGTTGATGGCCAGGCTGGTCTCAAACTCCTGACCTCAGAGGATCCGCCCGCCTCGGCCTTCCAAAGTCCAAAGTGCTGGGATTACAGGTGTGAGCCACCATGCCTCACCTGGAAAACTTTTAAACCAAAAAAGTAGACAATTATTTTTATTTTCTCTGATTCCACTAGGACCATAGAAACCTAGAATTCTGTTCATTCTTAACTGTTTTAATTCACGTTACTGTCTCATGAATTCCCTACAAAGGAGACAGAGTTGCTCTAGGAAAGTGTCAAAAGTCAAACTAAAAATGTAAAGACAAATCTCTAAATTGAATGTTTTATTTGGGATATAAGAATTGAAATTCAAGACATACACAGACTGGGTGGTCTTCAGTATGTCTGAAGAACAAAGGAAGGTTAGAGGCTTTATTTTTCAAAAAAGAAATGTAACATATTGTTCAAGAAAGTTCAGCGGCATGAGTAAAGTTATGAGGAGCTGCCAAGTGACGGCATTGGGTAAAACTATTGTTAAAGTCTGCAGCAGGTTGGTTCAGTAGCTGTTAGATGAAACTGGCAGGCAATTTTAGCAGCCAGGCTTGCAGAGAATGCATTCTTGGAGCAATGTTATGCACCCTGAGTGCTTTCTACCCCTGGCTTCTTGCCTGTTTTAGTTGAGTATGACAAGAATAACGTAGTTTGTGTGATCCACTTTCACAAAAGCATACTGAACTCCTCTTCCTAAGTCTCTCATTACAAGTCTGTCCAGTTGCTTGCTCAGGTGTCTGGTGGCCCCCAGGGTGTGCTATTCAGTAAGAATCTGTGTATTTGGTGGCCTGTGTGCATTAGGGTGCAGAAGCTGGATACCTACCAAGATTACAAGGAGGCTGCGTCCTCTTACCAGGAAGCCTGGAGCACACTCCGGAAGCAGGCGTTTGGATCCTGGATCAGAAACCCCCCGGATTATCACCAGTTCAAGTGAGAAGGAAATGTTTGCTCTGGTAGCAGGACCCTTCATCCTGAACTGCCTTCCTTCACACAGGACGAGTCTTAGCTTTTTTGGTGGTTAAATCAGGGAATATTCTTTCTGAGCACTGCATCTCTGTTGTGTAATACAGATGGAATCTGGAACTTAGAGCAGGTTATACTTGATTGAAGTAGCTCTCTGCTAAAATGGCATCTCACTAATGCCCTCGCTGTCTGACTTCCATTGTGTTTTATTGCTTCTCTAAAATATGAAATCAGGGTTTGGAACATGATGCTTTAAAAGTACTCCACAGCAGCTCTGTTTTATGGGTTCCTACATTGATTCAGCAAATATTTATTGAGCTGAAATGATGTTTGACACTCTGCAAGTTTTACAGCTTTGCCTAGCATAGCGAACATATATTTTGTATTCCCAGCCTTTCTTCCTTCGGGGAGCCATTCTTTTCCCATTCTTGAGTGATCCTGCTCTGTGCCTCAGACTTGGCTGAAGCTAACCTTACTCCCTGGCTCTAGGAATAGCCTGTGAGCCAGCCCTGGACTGCCCTGGAATTGTTCTCAGAGGTATCAGGAAAGGCTGTCTGTTTTGATCTGGAGCTGTAAGAGTCATAATCGTGGGACTGCCGGTGGCCATCTTTTCCTACTACCTAGAGAAAGCCAGCAAAGAATGAAGGCAACAAAGGAAACAGCCAAGAGAATCAAAGATCTAGTAACACTGTTTAGATGCCTGAAGCCAGTACCCACCCTAGACATCAATTATGTGAGACAAATTCCTATCGTTATTTTGATTAAGCCTGTTTGTGTTCGTTTTCTGACTTACAGTTGAAAGAATTCTGTCCAAAAAGCCAAAAGGTGGCCAGGTGAGGTGGCTCAGGCCTGTAATCCCAGCACTTTGGGAGGCCAAGGCAGGCAGATCACTTGAGGTCAGGAGTTCAAGACCAACCTGGCCAACATGGGGAAACCCTGTCTTTACTAAAAATACAAAAACAAGCCAGGCACGGTGGTGTGCACCTTTAATCCCAGCTACTCGGGAGGCTGAGGCAGGAGAATTGCTTGAACCCAGGAGATGGAGGTAGCGGTGAGCGAAGATCTCACCACTGCACTCCAACCTGGGTGACAGAGTAAGACCCTATCTCAAAAAAAAAAAAAGCCAAAGGCCCTACAGCAAATCAGCAGTAGACCCAGCAGCCAATCCTGTTTTAACTAATGTTGAATGTTTAACACTCAACTTTAGACTTTGAATGATTGACTGAAAATGGAAGCTCCCATGTTGGGGTTACTCAAGAACCTTATTGGTTCTTCAGCATTTTGTGGCTATATTTTTTCATAACAGCTGTATTGAGATATAATTCACAGACCATAAAATTCACCCAACTAAAGTATATAATTTAAAAGTTATTAGGCCCAGCACGGTGGCTCACGCCTGTAATTCCAACACTCTGGGAGGCTGAGGCAGGTAGATCACCTGAAGTCAGGAGTTCAAGACCAGCCTGGCCAACATGATGAAACCCTGTCTCTACTAAAAATACAAAAATTAGCTGGGCATGGTGGTGCACACCTGTAATCCCAGCTACTTGGGAGGCTGAGGCAGGAGAATCATTTGAACCTGGGAGGCGGAGGTCAGAGGTTGCAGTGAGCCAAGATCATGCCACTGTACTCCAGCCTAGGTGACAGAGCAAGACTCTGTCTCAAAAAAAAAAAAAGTTTTCAGTGTGTCCACAGAGTTGTGCAACCATCAATTTTAGAACATTTTCATCACAAATTTTGTGCCTGTAATAGTTTCCTAGAGCTGTTTCTTAACGAAGTACCACAAGCTGGGTGGCTTAAGACAACAGAAATGTATCCCTGGCCAGGTGCAGTGGCTCACGCTTATAATCCCAGCACTTTGGGAGGCCGAGGTGGGCAGATCACAAGATCAGGAGATCAAGACCATCCTGGCCAACATGGGGAAACCCTATCTCTGCTAAAAATACAAAAATTAGCCAGGCGTAGTGGTGCATGTCTATAGTCCCAGCTACTCAGGAGGCTGAGGCAGGAGAATCTCTCAAACCCAGGAGGTGGAGGTTGCAGCGAGCCAAGATCATGCCACTGCACTCTAGCCTGGGTGACAGAGCAAGACTCCATCTCAAAAAAATAAAAAGAAATGTATCCCCTTTCAGTTCTGGAGGCTAGAAGTCCAAACAGGTTGTCGGTGGGGCTTCCGCTTCCTCTAAAAGCTTTAGGGCGGGGGCCCCCAGCCCCAGAGCCACAGATCATTACTTGTCTGTGGCCTGTTAGGAACCAGGTCACACAGCAGGAGGTAAGTAACGGGTGAGCACGCTAAGTTTCATCTGTATTTACAGCCACCCCCCATCACTCACGTTACTACCTTAGCTCCTCCTCCTGTCATACCAGCGGTGGCATTAGGTTCTTATAGGAGTGTGAATCCTATTGTGAACTGTGCATGCAGGGGATCTAGGTTGCACACTCCTTATGAGAATATAATGCCTGATGATCTGTCACTGTCTATCAGATGAGACTATCTAGTTACAGGAAAACAAGCTCAGGGCTCCCACTGATTCTACATTATGGTGAGTTGTATAATTATTTCATCGTGTATTACGATTTAATAATAATAGAAATACAGTGCATAATAAATGTAATGCACTTCAGTCACCCCAAAACTATCCCCCATCCCCACCCCTAGATCTGTGGAAAAATTGTCTTCCATGAAACCAGTCCCTGGTGCCAAAAAGGTTGGGGACTGCTGCTCTAAGGAAGACTTTTTCGTGCCTCGGGGACTGCTGCTCTAAAGAAGAGTCTTTCGTGCCTCCTCCTCAGCTTCTGGTGGCTCCTGGCAGTCTTTGGCTTGTGGCTGCATCACTTCAGTTTCTCCCTCTGTCTTCACATGGCCTTCTTTCCTGTGTCTGTGTCTTTCCATGGCCTACTTATAAGGACCCCAGTAATTGAATTTAGGGCCTGCCCTAATCCAGTCTGATTTCATCTTAACTAACTATATCTGCAAAGACTCTATTTCCAACTAAAGTCACATTCTGAGGTTCCAGGTAGACATGAAGTTTTGGGGGATACCACTCAACCCATTGCAGAACCCATTAGCAGTCACTTCCCATTCCTCAACGCCCCTACCCCAGGGCAATCAGTAATCTACTTTCTGTCTCTTTGGATTTGTCTATTCTGAACATTTCATATAAATGGAATCATATAATATGTGGTCTTTTGTGACTGGCTTCTTTCACTTAACATGTTTTCAAGATTTATATTGTAGCATGAATCAGTACTTTATTACTATTTATGGAATAAAAATAGTCAGTTGTATGGATGTAAATGTTTTGTTTATCCAGTCATCAGTTGTTAGACATATGGGTTGTTTTCACTTTTTGCGTCTTGTACATAGGGTTGCTATGAACATCTGTGTACAAGTTTTTGTGTGAGCATATATTCTGAAAATTTTTTTAAATTACAGAAATAATACATGTATGTCATAAGAAGTTATTCTTGAATGTTTTTCCATAAGAAATCCTTTTGGATAGGAAAGAAAGAAGGCCAGGAGCAGTGGCACCTGTAATCCTAGCACTTTGGGAGGCCAAGGTGGGTGGATAGCTTGAGGGCAGAAGTTCCAGACCAGCCTAGCCAACATGGCAAAACCCCATGACTACTAAAAATACAAAAATTAGCTGGGCGTGGTGGCGCACGCCTGTAGTCACAGCTACTTGGGGGACTGAGGCACGAGAATTGCTTGAACCTGGAAGGCGGAGGTTTCAGTGATCTGAGATCACACCACTGCACTCCAACCTGGGCAACAAAGTGAGACTGTCTCAAAAAAAAAAGCTAGGGGGCAATGACCAACATGGAGAAACCCTGTCTGTACTAAAAATACAAAAGTAGCTGGGCATGGTGGTACGTGCCTGTAATCCTAGCTACTCAGGAGACTGAGGCAGGAGAATTGCTTACCCAGGAGGCGGAGGTTGTGGTAAGCCGAGATCGCGCCATTGCACTCCATCCTGGGCAATAAGAGTGAAACTCCATCTCCAAAAAAAAAAAAAAAAAGCAACAATATCACTACTTGAAGGCGAGGGTCTCCGATATTCTGCTTTAATCAATTTCTTTTCCCTGACCCCAAATCTTACATTATGACAGCAGTTAGGATACCTGGGCTGGCAGGAGCTTTTATCTAGAGGATGATGCATCTCTCTCTTTTATGAGACCTTATTTTAAAGGAAAAAGACTTACATTAAAACGTAAAAGGATAATGTCTTTTTATTCCTAAATTTTATGTTAAATTTGTACCCCCAAAAAAAACCCTAAGTGTAAAAAAAAAAAACAACAAATTTAGACTTCAGAATAGAGACTAGAAAAAAACCTGAAGGCTGGAGACCAAAGGCACCTTCACTTTGGACTACCTGTTTTCTCAAGAGCTAAAAGTGGTACTTAACCATCCAGCATCCTACATTTTATTTTATTTTATTTTATTTTATTTTATTTTATTTTATTTTATTTTATTTTTTTATGTTATGTTATGTTATGTTATGTTATGTTATGTTATGTTATGTTATGTTGTGTTATTTTTTTGAGATGGAGTCTGGTGCTCTGTTCCCCAGGCTGGAGTGCAGTGGCGTGATCTTGGCTCACTGCAAGCTCTGCCTCCTGGGTTCATGCCATTTTCCTGCCTCAGCCTCCCAAGTAGCTGGGACTACAGGCGCCCGCCACCACGCCCGGCTAATTTTTTGTATTTTTAGTAGAGACAGGGTTTCACTATTTTAGCCAGGTTGGTCTCGATCTCCTGACCTCGTGATCTGCCCGCCTCGGCCTCCCAAAGTGCTGGGATTACAGGCGTGAGCCACCACGCCCGGCCTCATCATCCTACATTTTATTTTAATCTCTTAAAACCCAAGTTTAAAATCTCATCTATGCCTTAAAATCACATCTCTGCAATCTTAGCAGACTCTCAGATTTCATACATTTATAAAATTTGTTTTTACGGTTTCTTTTTTATTATTTCTAACGGCAGGTGAAAGGATTTTTTATTTTACTAATGTTTCTTAACCTATGTTTGGCTGATAACTGCTTCTCATTTTTAAATACATTTTCTTTTTTGAACTTGTTATGGAAATTTTTAAATAGTCACAAATACAGACTAGCACAGCGAACTCCCCTGAACCATCACCCAAACTTAGCAAACGTCAGCTTTGTTGCTGCTCTTGTTTGATCTGTTGCCTCGTCCCCTCCAACATTTTTTTTGACCATTTAAAGCAAATCCTAACCATCATATTTCACCTAACAGAATTAATATCTAATATGTAGTCTGCTCAGTTTTCCCATCTTGTCTCAAAAATGTATTTTGACTGTTTGTTATTTGGTTATTTGTTAAAATCTAAATAAGAGCCACATTGTGCGTTTGATTGATAGGTCTTTTGTCTCTTTAAATCTGTAACAGTTACCCTTTTTTTTCTGTGTTGAAAGGGGGGTTTTTTGTCCTGTAGTATTTCCCACATTTTGTATTTCACTGCTTATTTCCCCTCATTGTTGTTTAAAGGTTCCTATCTCCCCAATATTTCCTCTAAATGTGCAGTTACACATAGAGGCTTGATTAGATTCAGGTGCAGTTGATTTGACATGAGTGCTTCCTGAGTGACTCTGCATCTTTGTTTTGCATCGTGTGGAGAGGAACATGACATCTGGTGGTTCCACTTGCTGTGACTGAGCAATGGGGTCTGCGGTGTCAGTCTGGTCTTTTCCATTATAAAGTACCCCACCACCCTTCCACCTGATGGCTCTAGCAGCCGTGTCAGGAGTCCCTGAGACCACCCTCATGTTTGATGATTCACAAGATAGATTCACAGAACTCAGAAAAACTGTTATACACATCATTCCTGTTTATTTTAGTGAAAGGATACAGATTAAAATCAGCAAACAGAGAAGGCACATGAGCGAAGTCCAGCAGAAGACAAGCACAAGCTTCTAGTTGTACCCTCGATATGAGCCTTGCATGTTTGATTCTTTGACATGGGAGGGGACCTTGCTCATTCGGTGGAGAGATTGTTCTTCCTAGGGCTAGCCAATTCCTGGAGAGAATAAATGACTCACCTATGACTGTTCCTTTCATATGTAAACCAGCCAATCTGGAGCCCATACCCCAACCTGTCCTTTACAGGACGTCTCATTCTCTAGGCCAATATGCAGTACTCTGGGATATGCACCTGCCCTTATCACCACAGGGCCAGGTACCAGAAAGCTAGGGAAAGCCCCTAGGCCCCAGAGCCTGCTGAAATTATTCAAACTCGCCAGTCTGCTTACTCGGCCTCACCCCTTCCTTCCCATGGAAAGAACAAGGCTCTTACTCCACTTGATTCCCTCATTCCCTCTGCCTCCGCACTGACCCTGGGCTTCCCAGTGTGGCTCCCTGTGGCGTGCCATACCCCTTTTGGAATCTGTAAGTCTAACAAGCTTTCTTGTCAATGGCAGTCACCTGATCTGTTGCCCTCATCATACCTGAATAATAATAAAACCTATATTTTATATTTTTTATCTTTTTTTTTAGAGACGGGTGTCTTGCTCTGTTGCCCAGGCTAGTTTCAAATGCTTGAGCTCAAATGATCTTCCCACCTTGGCCTCCCACAGTGCTGGGATTAGAGGCATGAGCCACCATGTCAGGCCACCTAAAACCTATATTTTAAAACACTCCCCAGTGGTGTCACACAGACAGCACTTAATCCTCCCAGCAATGATGTATGGCAGTATGTGCCAGGTGTTGCCAATTATAGAAGCTCGTTGAGCCTTGGATGCTGCTAACATCGCATGATGCACAGGACAACTGCCCTGTCCCCACCCCCACTCCCCGCAAAGAATTATCTGGCTTAAAATGTCAGTCATGCTGAGGTTAAGAAACCCTGCTTCTAACAATTGTGTTTTAAAGTCACTTGAAATAGTTCCTCTCTAGTTATTGCTCCAAATCTGTACATAATTTTACTTTACTTTCAGTTTTTAGGGATGCCTGAAAAATTATGTAAAATGTTTGTATGATTCCAAAGTTGAAACTAGTTTGTTTTTGTTTTTTAAAAAAATAGAGATGGGGTCTCACTGTGTTGGCCAGGTTGGTCTTTAATTCCTGGCCTCAAACGATCCTCCCATCTTGGCCTCCCAGAGTGCTAGGATTACAGGCATGAGCCACCATGCCTGGCTAGAACTAGTTTTCTTTGAAGAAAGGTATATTCAGATGTCTTTCATCCTTGTCTCCTCCCTGGTTTTTTCCTTCCCTCTAACAGTAGCCATTTTTATTAGTTGTTGGCATATCATATATGCGACAATTTGTATTTTTGCCACTGTATCTTTTGGATAGTCTTAGAAGTGGGATTGTTTGGTCAAAGATTAAATAAACATATAATTTGCTTGATTTAAATATATCTTCTAAGTTCTGTTTCTAAATACAGTGAATCCAAAGAAAGCAAAGCACAGAACACCATTACAACATGCCATTTCTATTTAAAAAGCATGAAAGAGGCCGAGTGCAGTGGCTCACGCCTATAATCCCAGCACTTTGGGAGGCTGAGGCAGGTAGATCACCCGAGGTTGAGAGTTCAAGACCACCCTGACCAACATGGAGAAACTTCGTCTCTACTAAAAATACAAAATTAGCCGGGCATAGTGGCACATGCTTGTAATCCCAGCTACTCGGGAGGCTGGAAAAAAAAAGCATGAAAGATAGGTAACTGTTTAGCTTGTATATACTAAAGTATCTATGAACCTACTTACAAGAAACCAATCATCAAACAGGACAAAGGATGGCCAGGGTCCAAGGAGTGGGAGGGAGACTTTTAACTTTACACCCTTTTAAAATGTTGAACCATGTTAATGTATGCCTATTTTTTAAATAAATTTTTTAAATGAAATAAAAATTAATGGAAAAAGGTTTCTCTATTTTAAACTGCATTAACACCAGAAAACACATAGAGGCGATGTTGTATAGGGAAGAGGAATCTCACAAGCTGCTTTAGGCAGCTTAATTCCACAGAATTACTGTCTTGTGGAATTTGGCTCTTTCAGGGAGGTTTACACTTCGAGCCTTGCTGTTTATTCTGTGTCCGTAAGTGGGTTCTAGTGTTACGACTGTGTTGCATAATTTGTATTTTCTTAATAATTTTCAAAACTTGGCTTGATTTAAATAATTGTGTGTATAGATTTCATGTAGTCATTTCTGCATAGGGTTAAAT